TCAGAAACTAAATAAATTTATTAAATAAACGTCTAAACACTATCACGTATCGATGTAAATTAAACGTTATTTTTTATGTTGCAAATCGAACGAACCGCGCCGCACTTTACCCGTTTTTTTTTGACAGTCAAAAAGTGATTACATTCACAATCGGAAATAACCGAATCCTCTTGGTGTTCGGTTAATCGGCAAACGACGTGTCAATAAAAAAAACGGTTTTTATCAGATCATTTTCACACTAACCGATTTGAACCGGACGCAATAGTATTCTGTTTCGCACGCACCGCGTAAATTCCAATCGATATTTGAATACTCTCTTCCCCCAAAACGTACACAGAAACCGCTTTCGTCTTTAACAGACTACGATTCAGCCGCATGATTGGCTCTTAACTGACGCGTGCGCACATAAAAATTTAACGTGATATACGGATTAATTAGAAATCCATATCAATTTGTTGGAGTTTATTTTCTTTTTTTCATTATAAAACGGAATTTTCTTTTTAAAAGTTCCGTTAGGATACTATATCATTAAAATTTTAATATAAAAATCAATGATTTGACTTTTGTTGCTAACTTCATTGTAGATTAATTTTATTTTAGGTTAATTTCAACACTTAGGAGATTGTTTAAAATTGGTTTTTATTTATCTTTAAAATTAACGTTTAATTAGCAGAGTCCTTTGGAACTGAATAGTTGATATAGTGACGATTGTATTAGTTAAGTTACAAGACTTTCTATTCAATAATTTTCAAAGCCGAACCATAAAATATAATGAAGTTATTAGGCCCACTTTTACTGTCATATATGGTTGTTGTTAAAAGGCAAATAATAAAGTAAGAATATGTTTGGATTCGCAAAATCTTAATAAAGCCATAATACAAGAGAAATATCAATTAGCTACGGATCCCAAATACTACAATTTACTCTACATTGGATGCTAGTCAGGGATTTTATCAAATTAAATAATGAAAGTCAATTAATCACAACATTTAATGCAGGAAGATATTGTTGCAAAAGAGTTTCTTTTGGACTTTGTTCAGCACCCGAAGTATTTCATAAATCATTTCAAGAGCTATTTGGTGACTTACCAGGGGTTGAAATTTACATTGACAATATTATAGTTTGGGGAACCAACAATGAAGAACATTTTAAAAGATTAAAAGCGTTATTTGAAAAAGCTAAATCATTAAAAGTTAGATTTAGTAGATGTGCAAGTTTGGGGTGAAAGAGGTAAAGAATGTGGGACATAGAGGTGTTACTGATACTTGTACCTGTTACTTAGGAACAGTTATTTGTATGTTGTTCCTTGGAAGTAACTAAATTTAACAAATAATAGTACAGGTACAAAATACTAGTTTTGTAAACGTTATGGAATCATCTCTATGTTAATTATTATTCGGTATGGGTAGGAACAACAAAGATTTGAAGTATTTTTCATAACAACTGACTGTTAAGTTTGTTATCCAGTAATAATTATTAATTAACTAAATAATTTTAGTTTAATTTAATAATGCTATAAGAATTAAACAAGGACTTTATTTAAACTTTAGAAAAACAAACTTTACATCTATTTGGAATTAAAAAAGACTCAGAATAATAGTATAAAAACATAGCCATAAAAATTTGGCTCTTCTTTATATCTAAAAAAAAGTTTGTTTCAATTTAAAGTTTTTATTAGAAATAATTATAACCTTTGAATTTCCATTAAAGCTCGAGAATTCGCAGTTATTCTGGTTTTGTGGTTGATCTTTTAACTTCTTTGTCTATTTTAAATGATATGGACAAACAATCATAGTTTGTACAGTTAGTAATGCCGTCCTTTGTAGGAGCAATAATAGGAGTACTTTCATCAGTTGATTTCATCACAAAGTGATTTTGTTCCACAAAAATACTAATTTATAACATCTCTAATGGGACATGTGTTTAGTGATCAGACCAATCAAAAGTGCAAGCTATCATGAAGATGTCAACACCAACCAAGAAAAAGGACTTACAATCATTTTTGGGTTTAGTGACTAAGTTTATATATTAAACCCCGAATGTATTATCTCTAAATTATACTACAAATTACAATACTTGAATCTTATTTTTGACAACACCCAATTACCTAAAACTCATCCAAAGATCACGAGATGATCGTTCCCGAAACAATGTGTTTAAGAACGCCCGTTTTTCTCTCAGAATGGCCGAGTTAGTGTAATTGCGTAGTTGTTTATAATACTGGAAGTGAGTGGGACACCTACTCTGGCGGAATCTACTATAAGCCTGATCACGAAATCTTATAAGGAGCTTGATGTTATCAGTCACCCAAGGGCAATAATTTTTATGGATGGAAACAGTACGCAAGGGCGCATGACGATCAAACAGATTATGAATTGAATCAACAAAAAAGGCCACCTTATCATTAATGTCTTGAAATTGGAGTATCCGGCACCAAGGTACTGATAGCAAATCCGCAAAAAAAATATTAGAATTAAGGTGTTTGAAATCACGAAATTTTTAAATTTTATATGCATCCCAAGATCAACGAACACCAAATTATGATCTGCGATATCATGAATAGGTTGAACACCATTATTTTCAACAACTGCATCCTCAAAAACTATAACATGATCTATTAATTCATTAATTATTAATTTTATTGCATTATTTTCTTAAAGCTAAAGCAAATTCTCAAATTGTTTTCCGTCGGCACTAACACCAGCTCTGCATCGTCGCAGAAAAGATCTTTTTACTATAATAGTTGTGCAAATCTCTTTGCGTTTATTCTGTTGCTGTATAAATATTGTGGCGCAGTTCGGCAATATTTTCAATCGGTTTTTAATAAATTTTTTCTTTTATGCAATACTAGTAAGAAAATCAAGGGGATTTAGGCCCTGAGAATGAGGAGGCCACGTAATCGAACCAAAACGCCCCATCCATCTTTCGGGATATTCTGTATTCAATCCCGTACAAAACAAGCATAATGAGCTGGGCAACCTTGTTGAAACCACATTTCTCTGTAAATATTGAGTGGCACATCTTCTAGCAAAGTTATTAAATTATTTTGGAGAAAATACAAATAACATACGATAGTATGAATTTTTTAAACAACACCTTTTTGCAGAAAAACGTAAAAAGTATTATACCATTTTGAAAACTTGACTAAACAGGCCATCTTTTAAAATAACTTGCCAACTCAGTTTATTCGTCTTTTTGGTGTAGTTTTCTTGTTATTTTAGTAGTTTTACAATAAATTTTTTTTAACTTATAATAATAATAATAAGCCTTTATTTAGATAATGTAGGCAGATCAACTGGCGAAGTTTAGCCCAAGGCTATTCTCTACTTAGCCAGTTACTCTCCCAAACAAAAGGAATAATAACATGTCAAGCCTTTTCTATCAAATAAAAATCTACTACTCTAAAGAACTAAAACACAATACATAATAAATTACATAATAGCTTAATCATCTGAAGTAAAATTACTTTAATTCATACAAATCGCTAGTATTAGTACATCTATGATAATGACAAAAATAATTGTTTACTAGAGCTGGAAAAACGTGTTAAATTCATTTGCTTTAAGTTAACTGGAAGATTATTATATAATTTAATTACATTATAAAAAAAGATTTCAGAAACATTACCATGGTGTGACGAGGAATTTCAAACATGTTACAACAACGCGTAGAAAGTTTGTTTTTATTTTATCTTTGACAATACAGCTGATGATGGCTTATTAGCCGAAACCGGGTCTGAATATATTAATTTTTATAGCAAGAAAGAAGTTATTTTATTTAAATACCTAAATTTTATATACATTTTCTATTTCAACTTCTTTTTTTATTTGTATTAACTCCGTTTTGAGCATTAATGCTTTTTTTTAACAATTATGGTATTATAAAATACAAACAGATCAATTTTTAGTGATACATAGTAGGCGAGTTAATGTTTAGACTCTACTTTTCCTGTATCTTGGTGCTTGCAAAACATTACTTATATTTTTGGGCGTCCAAGAGTTCCATGCACTTTTCTTTTCTTGCAGCATCCAATTACTATGGTACGTCCATCTAACTATGATTTAAGTTCCATATGTACTACAATAACCTATTTTAATTTACTATCTATTGTTGTTTGTAGTTCCTCAGATTGAGGCAGTGATACAATGTCGTCAATTACCTTCATTTGTTCGTCAGCGCCAATAATTTTTCAAAATTCCCCTATATGTTTACTTTAACTAGTACCTTTGGTAAGTAGGATTGAATCTTTTCTAATTCTTCAATAAGTTTAACTGGATTCATGATGATTATGGATTCGTTTTTGTGACATTGTAACGATTTGTAATAAATTTAGTTGCTCTTTAGATACCTCATTAAGAACCAACTAAAATAAGTTAACCAAGAGTTGAAATTCGTTTAACTTTTTGTATTGACTACCATAGGTAAGATTAAATATTTTTTCATTCTTAAAAGTTGGGTTTCAAAACGGAAGTCATCAATATTAGCAAATGATTTTGATTTGTGTTCAATGTGCTTATTTGTTAACATAACTTGATACATTTTCTAGTGTTTCTGTTTCAATACTCAGAACAGAAAGTGATTTACTAGCTGGATCTAATGAGAAGTTAAAATTATTGTAAAAGTAAAGTATAACATTTTTATAAATAGATGAATTTCACTTTTTGGCATAAGCTAGAATAGATTTCAAAAATACTTTGCAATCACTCCCTGCCCATAAAATACCTGAACCTTTGATATAAGTGGAAATTGTATTTTTCTTCTAATCAAAATTTACGTTTACTTGTTCAGCAGTAAGAAATATGCAGGTAACAAGATAAATGTTATCAACCACTTTAACTAAATGTGGTAAAAGTGGGCCTTAATATTTTAAAATTAATCTAATCCACATTAAAAAGTATATATTACATTGTAAAAGCTATTTAAGAATAGCTTTGTGGTGCATTTTCATAATAAACAAACTGTGGCACAACCATGATGTTATAGATTTAAAAATACACAAGTTTCAGGTTACTCAACACCTTTATTTTTTATATATTATTATACCAAATTATTATAACATTACTTTGCTTTCTTAGATTTGGTTTTACGCATGTAAAATTCCAATTCTTTTCCTTCCAACACATATCCATCAGCTCTTCCACATTGTCCAGGGCGGGAAGCCAAACAAGCTATAACAAAACAATCATTTTTATCAAAAAATAAACATTTAACCTAAAAAGGGATCTTTATCTTTTTGTTAATTAATCAGAGTAACTATGACTAAGCTCTCATCGTTCGATGGGTTTCTTCAAAACGAATCCGCCACAATTAAGAACTCGCTTAATTTTATCATCATAAAAAATTGATTTATTAATAATATTCTTTTATCATAAGATATTTACCCAAAAGTCTGCCAGCTTGGAATTGTTCTTCTAATGCTGGTTCAACTTTAGCAGTACGTTGCCTTACTTCATATTTCTTTTGCACTTTCTTGCTACGTTTCTTATTAAAAAGCGCTTCCTCCGTTTCAGTCTAAAAAATCAATAAAAAACAATAAAATATCCCCAAATTAAAACCAAAAAAACAAAGTTATCCATTAAATCAGAATTAGCATAACCCAATTTATTAATCACAAAAAAATCAGCTGACACGCAAAGAATACTCATCATTAAATGTAAAAAATAAGCTAATACGGATTAATAACTTACCAATTTTGCACCCTTTTTGCGTCCAAGTGGTAAAACATAATGGGATTCATACCACTGCCTAAATGGAGTGGCATCAATAACAACAATCGCATTTTTTACCAAAGTTTTGGTACGGACCAATTCATTATTACTGGCATTGTAAACAACGTCAATAATACGCGTTTTGCGAGCGGTTCCTTCGGAACCCCAGGCGAAGTTACCCATATCAAGCCTTAAAGCTCTATGTTTGAGGTTACCCCCACGGGTACGGACGAAATGTACCCTACGAGGTCCCAATTTCGTGTTGGCGGCGGGTCTACCCAATTCAAACTTCCTCTTCTTGCGGAGGGGCTTCCTCTTGCCACCAGTGGCACGTCGCTTGTGCCAATGATCTCGACTAATACCTAAAAGCAAAAAAGATTATAATTTCTGACAAAAATATAAAAAAAATTATATGGAAAATATGAAATCTTATCAGAGCGCTGTGGTATAGTTTGTCTTCAGCACTAATAGTCGGAAACCAATTATTTTTTATCATCACATGTTTAAGTATCACAACAAATTTTTAACTTTAAGGTTAGGTTTAATTATTTTTGACACAATTCGTAATTTATAGGAAATAGATTGTGTAATGGATTCTAGAATGATAGATAAATGTTTTTTGAGAGAATTTATAAAGGAAATTTGTTAAATAACTTAGATGATTAACGATAAATAAAATTCACCACTCACCCATTTTGGAGAACTGAGTGAAAAGAGAGAAAGAAGAACTATCGCACTGCAGCCAGTTGTTTACTTCCGTCACATTCAAAACCACCAACTTAAATTACAACGAAAAAAATCCCTAAGTTTTCTCACAATTTTATTAATTTCCAGTTTATAGAGTACATTACAAACACAAATTTAAATAAAACAACCTCTATTTTTATTATTATCTTAGAAATATCAATAAATAATAAATTAAATTATAAATTAATTTTTGACATTCAAACTAGATTAGATGCGATAAAAATGGCGGATGATGTAGAAAACGACGACCAGTGGTTATACGGCGATAGTTCCGATCATATACCTCAAGAAAATGATAAACCAAGCGAAAACAATGAGGAAGTAGCCGATAAACCCATCGAAGAAGAAAAACCGCCGGAAATAAAGGTAAATTAATAACTTTCCGAAACATAACCTATAAAACCCCTGCCATAAGCACAACTGTCATAAATTTTTAAAAATAAAAATACATTCAAATTAATTTTACATATTATTTCCGAGTCTATCCTAAATAAAAATCAACCAAATTGTAATGTTTCAGGAAAGTGAAACTGAAGAAGCTCCTCCAGAAGAGAATCCCGAAGAGCAACAAGAAAATGATGAGGAAAATGGGGCCCCTGAAGATGGAGAGATTGAGAAACAACCAGGAGATAGTGATAAAGAAGATTTTGATGAAGACAGTGACGACGACGTCAACGTGGTTATTGGGGACATCAAAACAAGCCCCACTTACACTTCGTTAAATATAAAACGAGGGGGATTATTAACAACCACCACAAGTGATAAAACTAAACAAGCACCGGCAGGGAAATTTAGTATCGATGAATTTGATCAACCAGGATCAATAAATGGAGTCCCTGCTACAGACTTTAATCTTGATTCTCTTGAAGATAAACCATGGAGAAAACCGGGAGCTGACATAACAGATTATTTTAATTATGGTTTTAACGAGGATACATGGAAAGCTTATTGTGAACGACAGAAAAGGTTTCTGTGTATTCTAATTTAATAATAATAATGATGGACTGATTTTTGTTCAAACTGGATCAATTGTGTAGGTTACGTATGAACGAATCAGGTGTGGGATTGGCTCCGTTGAACGCGATAGGGATGCCCAGGGGACCAGTGCCAATCATGAACGACAACAGCAAATATTCAGGAAATTATTCAACACCACGTAAGGCTGGACCACCTCCTGGTCGACGTATGACTGGTTCTATTGATGTTATAGGAGGATTGTCCACCCGGATGGGTTCTGCCGCAGGAAAAATGGACGCCCCCAAGGAAAACGTCATTCAGGTATTGCCAACACCTCCACAGAGAAGCAAGCAAAAACCAACTCAAGAAACTCAAAAAAAAACTTTCTTCTCTTTTCACTTCTTTTTTCTAGGAAAGGAATTAAAACGCAGGGAACATAACTTTTAATTAATTTTTTTATTTATAACATTTTCTATTTTAAAAGGTGATGACAGCGGATCGAAGAGAATACAGTAGGAAACCACCAGGTTTCCCAGATATGTCAATGCCACCGCCGAACTTCGATGATTTCCAACCAGAATACGGATTTAATCCAGAACCAGAACCTTTTTATGGTGGATATGAACCTACTCAAGACTCACAATGGGGCGGTAAGGAATTCCTCGGATCACAAATCTTTTTAGGATAAATATATTCACACACAGGATCAGATACAAATGCGGGATGGCAACCTCAAGAAATTAAGTCATTAACAGGTGGTCCACCACCAATTGTACCCCCAGTAGGACCCCCAACAGGAATTCCACCGCCAATGGTAACAGCTCTCGGCCCAACATCTGGTCCTATCAAAGAAGGATCGCCACAGCGAGAGATACGAGATCAAGAAAGCAGAGGACGATCCGAAAAACCAAGAGAGAGGGAGCGAGAAAGATCACATCGTCGGGAAAGATCTAGAAGTCGGTCAAGAAGACATAAGTCCAGGTCCAGGAGTCCTAGCCATAGAAGTCATAGGAAGAAGAAGTCTAGGAGGCATGAAGATAGTGACTGACAAGAGGAGGAGTTTGAATATGATAGGAGGACTGAATATTGATAATTTTTTATTTTGTTTCCCACTTTCAATGTAAGGAATAAATGTAGTTTTCAAGCATTTATGAAATAATTAAGGATGTATAATATATAGGACTATACAAATTAGTTTTTGTTTTATTGTAATTTAAAATTATTTTTGTATCCTGTTATAATTCTTTCCAAAGTTATTTCTTGTAGGTAAACTTTTTTGACATGAACTAACTGGTCGTCAGTCTAACTATCAGATAACGTTTATCTAGAAGTTAACTGCAAAACTACTTTTATCATTTCGATTTAACTAGAGGATAGGCTATCTAGTGGTTAATGTAAAAATCTAGGGGAATGTTCTAATGACTTGGTGACCACGGGTAAAAGAGGTATTACAGGTTTCTACCTCCTTTATCCGTCGGTACTTCGTAGGTAATTCCCATAAACCTGTCAGTTCTATTAGTGGCAATTAACGTTCACGAAAAAATGAGTATCCAGGGTTTGCCCTCTGTGTGTGATTCGGATTCTGCACATACTTCTGCAGCAGTGACATCGTTAGCGTTAAGTGAGGACAATGGATCACTGCCTCAGTCCAAGAAACTGCTAGCTATAGGTAGTTCCTTGGAATGGGTTCGATTAGAAGTATGTATGGAATCAGATTTACTGTCAGAGGGAGGACCTATCTCTTCTGTTGGTACACCAATGGATACTCATGTAGAAGAGCAGAATATGTGGAACACATGGACTTCACAAAATATGCGGAAACGCAAAGCTATCATTTTGCAAACAATAAGAAAAAGTAAAGGTACAATCAAAATACTTACTAACCTATTATGTATTTATAAAAATTGATCTGTTTATATTTTATAAGGTGTAGTGTCCAAAATGACACCTACAATGAGTTATTAAAGAAAAGATTAGAGTTAACAACATTAATGTTAGAGAATGGAAAGGAAAGACATAAAGCAGAGATGGAAGTGATAAAATTAAAAAAGGAAGTGGAAATGGAAAAATTAAGAAAACAAAAAAGAGTTAATCTATTTTTTAAATACTTCTTTGAAAATATTTAAGTAATAATAATGTACATATTTATTTTAAATAGCGTTTTTTTTTGTTATTATTTATTTTTTTATAGTAATAAAGTTTATTTTTATAAGTTGCGAAAATAATTGATCACTCCTAATCTTCTGTTATTGACCTCCATGTCTTCAGCATTTTATTGGACATCATGCTGGATGTCTGCAAACTCCAAAATCAAAAATTATTCACGAGACAAAAAAAAACTCAGAAAATACAAGTATATACTTGATCAAATTAAAATGTCATTTTGAGATAAAAGTGGAGTTAGGCCAAAATCGAAAATTATTCACGAGATACAAAAAAAAAACTCAGAAAGTACAAGTATATACGTGATCAAATTAAAAAGTCATTTTGAGATCAAAGTGGAGTTAGGCCGTTTGCATCTTAAGCCGACGATATCGTCTTCAGGTGGTAAAACATCATTTATATTGATGCACATGTTGTGCAAAATGACTATTGAAAAGTAACCCTTTCTGTTCCTATAATATTCTGCATTCTCTCATATTCTAGAGAAACTAAAAAGCGTGTCTATAACAACACCTGATGATTGAATTCGAACATGTGTACATTCAATAGCACCAATTATTTGCGAAAAGCCTACAATTTCGTTAAATTCCACCTGATTCATCGAACTTCATTAGCATTATTAGACACCTTATTTAAATAGTTGGGCCTAAAATTCGCAAAAACTACCAAAACTAATTTTATTATGACGGAAGCAGATGATTCACTGATTTCACAAAAGTCAGCTACAGCTAATAAAATGTTGCCTGTAGCAAAAATCTTAGTGAGCAACAATCTATTTGAACGGGATTGTAGAATTTCTAAAAACAATCCTTTGATAACCGAAATCTTTTAATAAATTCATCATCACACTGATGGTGGACATGGTCCAAGATAAATATGGTGGTAAAACCCTATTTTTACGCTATCCGTTAGTTAAAGTTAACAACCACTTTAACTAGAGGTGGTAAAAGTGGGTCTAAAGGTGAGTTTAGACATGCATGGATTTAGTGGCGCCAATTCTACTTGCACGCCAATAAAGGTTTACATTACATGTGCCACTAGCGTGGCACATGTAAAAAATAAGTGACACGCCAGTTTCATTTTTAAAGTGTATTGCACAGAGTGTAATATGTTGAATGAGCTTTTCCGAAAGGAAAATACATATATTCTAGGTTTAAGGTGGATAATTATACGTTATCGTTGAATGTGTTAACGTAATTGGGATTTAATTTGAATGCAATGAAACATAACCTAAATTTGACATTAAAAAATTTTGTATTTTTGTGGACACTCACCTATGTTGCCATGGTTACATGTTTTAGACTCATCACTGGCGCCAGTAATTTCAGAAGGGTGCAGACTTTTCCGATCCATGCATGCATGGTTTCAACTTGCATGCCAGTTGATGTTTACACATGCAATTTAATTTTACTGGCGCGCCAGTTTTTATTGGCACCACTAAATCCATGCATGTGTAAACTCACTATAAGTATAATATACCGATAAATTTCCCTAATAACTATTCGACCGATAAACTTATCGGGAGGATAAAGATATTTGCTGTTGTACAAACTGTTTTTGTCGGTGGGATTGCTATCGGCGAAATAAGAGTCGGTTGGTAGTAGCTTTTCCCCATATCTAGCGATTTGTGCAGTAGGTTGGTAACGCTAACGTCTTTCTTTGAAGTTTGAGTTATGATTTTGATAATTTATTGTTTAAAAAAAAATTTCACGACAGACAACGGATACAACGTTCGTATAGAGTTAACGAATAATGTTATAGGATAACCTATGCAATAACCATATGAAGTATTTGTATAAAAACCATAAATATCTGGCGGATAACTGTTTTATCTGTCGATAATCTCACCGACAAAAGTATCCGTACATTGTAATACAGTACAAACTAACTTATCGGCCAGATAACGCTGTCGAGAAGTTTATCGGTATATTGTACAACCGACCCTTAAACTCACTTTTACTAACTTTCTGATAAAGTACCTAGGGGATAGTTGCTATGGTAGCCATCTTCACATATGAGACTGCCATGAAAGGAAGATTATAAGAGTAACCATGAAGTTAATTTTGCTGATGGTTATTGGTTTTTAGGAATAATTAAAATTTTAAAATATTAAACAAATAAAATTCAGATTTAACAAGTGTCGTTTATATGAAAATTAGCCGTTCTTTTTATTTTAATAACGTTACAAGGTTTACAATAAAGAAGGAATAAAACACTAAATTAACCAGACGATAGTGTTAACGAAAAAAATATGACGTGTCTTGAGGAGAGGGGTCAAAATTCTATTGTTTAAACAAAAGTTAGAAGTATCACATACAGTCCCAATGTTCAGCAAATCGGTTTGACGATATCGGGACGCCATTCATCAGAGTCCTTAAAAATATATATAATTCTTTCCCTTAGTAAGAACGTTAATTCGTCTTCCCGATACACGGCAAAGCAAAAAAATAAAGCTCGTTTTCTTTCGCTCTTTCTATGCATTATTTAGGGCCACGTGCAGCGCTTGCTGCAATTCCGGCCTTAGGGCTGACACGATGTTTTGAAATAGCGTCCCGTTTCTTTGAACTTGCTGGATAATATTTAACGGTCTTCTACATTCTACGCTTTTTGGATCTAACGCATCCCGATAGAACGCCTCAGCAAATATACTAATTATACGAGGTATGTTCGCGTTTCCAGGACCCAAAATGACCAAATTATTCTGTTCTATCAAATCGCAAAGGTAACCATATACGTGTGGAGCTTCGTCGGCGTCTTCCACAACAGGTAACCAATTGAACCACATTGGCAAAACTTCATCAACATTAATTCCCGAAGAATTATACTTTAATATTTTCGTAACTGCAGATATGGCGTTTTCGGTGGATGTTATATTTTTGGGGTCTCGCGATTCCGGGTTGTTGATAACTTCGACGAGATGTGGCAAAATTTTTGAAAGCTCTCCAGCGAATTGTTCACCTCCAAATTGTGCTACGACACCCCAACCGTAAGCGGCGGCTTGCCGAACTTCGGGAACTTTATCTTTTACATATACAGATAATGGTCCTAAGAAGAAACCTTGATATTTTGCACATGCTGGCCCTGTGAATTCGATGACATCATCGAAAATACATATACCCCATTGATGATCTGCCCATGGTCTATTTGGTAATAACAAAGTAACAAAATGTTGACAAATCTGATCAAAGAAAGGCAGGAAGGTTTCGCGGTATGTTGTAAATAGGGCGTGGACTACTTCAGCTATTTTACTTAAAACGTAGATGTCGTCGGTTTCTTCATCGTCTAATCGTTCTTGGACAACCTATAACAAAATACGAAATTAAATTGATTAAAAAAAATCGAAATGTTTTAAGTTTACCTCATCATAGTCTTCATCCAAATGTTTCTTAGTTCTGTCTTGTGCTCTCTCAAAATGTTCTTGCATTAATTTATTCAAAATCTTTAATAACTCGCCCATTGACGCCTGATCTAAACATTGTGCCCCTAATGATTCTATACATCCAGATATTGATGATAAAAGTTCGTATAAAACTTCGGTTTCTGGTTCAGTATCTAACGCTTTTAATAATTCGGGGCAAATGTACGACCACATTCCTTGTACGAATGATGGCCCTTTAATGGTTGCGCATTGCAATAAATATGGTAAAGATTCTGCGGCGGCAGTACGTACGCCATCGTGGAAGTAAAATTTCAACATTGGTACCATTAATTTAACAACTTCCTCGCTATATTCCGCAAAACCTTCTTTAAGTTCTCTAGCGTAACAAACAAGCATCATGCAAGCGCCGGCCTTATCTTCGAGTCCAGCAGTTCGAATTCCAAAGTTTTGTTGCTCACCAAGTGATACAAATTGCCAGTCGACATCACCTTCTATTCCTTGCATGTCTTCGTTATCCAAAAGTGCAACTTCAGGTTTTAAAGATGCCGTTTTCATTACAGGTCCCATTACTAGTGGTAGATACTGTTCAAATCGTTTACCCATAACTTTGCAAATTCTTGACCAAGCTGATATTAAATAACTCGTTTGTGGGTCATCATCAGGAAGTTCTGATCCTTCAGCATGGGTTTTAAGTAACATATCCATTACTTCACTTGCATCAGACATAAATTTATCTGATCCAACTGCTAATCCAATTAATGACACACACTCAATCGTTTTTCCTCTTAAAAGTTTCAATTCGTCTTTATTTGCATTTTGAATAATGTATTTTAAACAGGGCATTAGTCGATCGTAATAAACAATAAATTCTTTTTCTGCTGTATCAGCAACGCTTGCGATTGTAGTTACAACTTGTTCCAAAACAAGTTTTGTGCCTTTCTCAACCAGTTCTTTAAATTTAGCGTTGAGAATTTGCTCCAATTTCCCCATTATGCCATCAAGATAACCTGTTAAAATGTGTTTTGGACAATCCTCTGAGAAATTAACCAAAGCCGCACCTGCATGCGCTTGAACTCTTGGATTCGCGTTATCGTCGAGCAACATTAAAAGTCCCGGAATTATACGATCATGGAATTTCTTTTGAATAACACTTGCAAAGTCTGTGGACATTTGCCCAATTGCGTTACAAGCGGCGAATCGAACCCTTGGATGAGGATCTTGAAGGTATCTTAAAATTCCCTCCATTATCCCTGGTACTCCGTCCATAATCTGATTTAACATCCCCTCCATTTGTTTGTTACATCCCTCTCCAATTGTGCTTAATGCCATTAAAGCAGCATGTCGTTGTTTCCAATCTGCGCTCGTTAACATCGCGGGAATGTTTCGCGTCACCAAAGGTAAAATTGTTTTCCCGCCAAGTCCACAAGCTAATCGATCCAAAGCAGCTTCCGCCACTACATTATTACAATCATTATCTTCTTCTAAAATTTCGTCTTGTTCGCTCCAACCATCCTCTTCCTCAATATCCGCCATAAATTGTAAAACTAATGGAACTAGCTGTTCAACATAATTTCCCGCATTTTTCCTAACCATCGCCGGAGCCATTTCCGCCAAGGTAACCATACCTTCAAGAGCTAATTGCCTCCAACTATCCAAAGCCTGCGTATCTCTAAACACATTCATACACATATCAAAAATACCAACGATCTGAGGTCGTAAAAATTTAGGCGTGTTCTCGGCCAGTTCAATTAGAAGTTTTAAAAGGGCGTCATCTTCGCGTTGGCGAATACTTTCCACCATCATTTCTAGAATACCAGGTAGAAGATCGCCAAAATGTTTCAAAATTTGCGTTTGTTTTTCGTTGATCATAATAAACGCACCGATTGCGCGGACGGCTTGAAAACGAACCTCGTACGGTTCCGATGGATTCAAACTTTGTTGTAACATCTGTTTGATGAGATCCAAATAGTTTCCTTGTTGATTACCAAACACGCCCGGCACAGAAGCAAACATTTGCAAGGCCGCTTCTTTTAAAACTGGATTCGATGCATTTGCGCATTGAAATAAAAACTATAATATTAAAAATTATGTCAAATATGGATAAATTAAAAGAATTAAAGGCATATTTCAAGAATAACAGGGTCGCTTAAAAATCGATTAAATAATTAATCGATAGGAAATGACCTAAAAAAGACGTTAATAATAAAAAAAAGTGCGGAAAAGTGTAGAACATACCGAAAAATCACTGAAAAGTTTCGATTCACACAAGCAAATTGTTTAATTTATAGCCACACACAAAATAAATCTGTTAAACAATTATTTTCACTAAACTTGTTGAGATTACAACATATATTTTCGGATTAAATACCCTTATTTCTCTTAGGCTTTTGATGCATAACGATTGACCTGTCGTCAAAGAGACTGTGTATCATTAATACAAAGTGTGTCAATCTAATTTCTATACAGGTGACTCAAAAAAACCGCTGACAGACTTCTAGAGATACACTTCTAGATAATACAAGAAAAATTAAGATGAAAATTAATATAAATCGGGTCGCCAATGCATCCTTAACAAGATATAGCGAGTCAAAATGTCTTTAAAATATAACATTATCTGCAATAAAAAGGCCTTTTCTAAAAATATTGTCTATGCCATTGCTAATTTTGTCAAACGGGCAGTATTTCCGTGTTAAGTGATCAATTATCTATCAATTGGTCTCTTACAAAACTTTGTTCAAAGCAATAGTTTAAAAAAAAACACGTTTGTAGAAAATTTTTTAATTCAATCAAAAACTGTTGCATTAATCAAAGTTTTGTAAGAGACCAACTGATAGATAATTGATGACAAAATTAGCATTGGCGTTGAAAATATTTTTAAAGAAGGGCTCACACGAATCAATTTTGGAAAAATTCTACAGAGAAATTTATTATAACGCATTAAAAAGTAAAAATATTAAGAAAAACAAGCTTTCTAGACTAAGATAAAGTTAATCAAAAGAAACAACGTGCTGTAAGACAGCATGGTAGGGGAACAACGTTCACAGACAAAAGCATTAAAATGACGGACCAAACATTAATTTAATCATGATATTCAAAATTCTAACAATAACCAACTTGTTGAACTTGTTATTAAAAGAATTTTGAATACTAAAGAGTATGTTCATAACTTTACACCTAGATTTACCAATCTCAGCAATACACAGCTTTCACCTGTTGACATAAATATCTTGAACTTGGGCCATAAATGTTCAATCCATAATCAATTAAAACATATAGAATTAGCCATAGCATTTGAATCTCAACTTTGTAGGCACACTAATTTTCAAAATATAGCTAATGATAACTTAAATTTCATAAAAGCTTTAAACAAAAACAATAAAAGTTCATATAACCAAAGGGATATTATTAATGATGTTGAAAAACTTAAACAAAAAATTAATAACAACTTAATTGTTACTTAAGGTTTATAAAAAACGCAGGTATTGTTATACTTGACAGAGATACATATGTCATAGACAAATGGTTGTAGCATACAGTTTTATTCCATTTATTTCAGTCTAACTTCTACTTTCCTAGGCAAATAGCATATGGCTAAAATATTTTCAGGCAAATAGCTCTTTAAAAAAGGTGTACTTGTTTCAAAAATAAGATGATGTGCAATAGTAGATGCCATTCCAGCAACAATTGTCAAAACAAGTAAATTTTTGTATTTAGTATTTAAGTCTTCAAGAAATAAATCGTGAGCTTGACATCAATATTATCAAAAACCTTAAAAAATCAAAGCTGTTGGATTTTTATGAAGAATATTATATTGCTTTAAATGATATTATCGAATTCAATCAGAATAGATTCTTCATGAAGCTAATGTAATTCGTCTTTAATATTTAAATTTACCGTTTTGACTCTATCATATGTTATTTTGTTGTTACTTAAGCGTTTTCTATACTTGACATTCCTTTCACATCACACCTTTTTATCTTTATTTATTTTCAGTTCAATTTTATTAAACTTTTATCTATAAAACTGTCAAGGGATTGCTTGGTGTTGTTGATTTGTATATCTTGTGAATTGATTTACTCATTGTTTGCTAACTGATTTGTAAAGATTGAGAGTGTACTTAAACATTTGGAAAGAAATTTATTTGTCATTACTTTGTTTTTTTTTTGATTTGCTATGTTTATAGTTTTTGATTTAATAAATGAGCATATGTTCTTGTCAAGACAAATAAAAAATTAAAATATATGTTTATTTAATTGATTTTTATAAATAAATTTACTAATAAATATTATGAGCTATAAAAAATAAACTGACTACAGGCTGAAGATGTCTACTGGCACATTAGCTCCTTTTGAACCCGTTTTAGGGTAATTTTAGTTTTATTTTGTCCTAGAATGACCTATCTTAATTTAAAAAGATCAGCTTATTGTACATTTAGTTTATTTTTTATTGGGTTTTGAATTTGAAATATGCCTTAAGTGTTCGACCACTGGCATGTTTACCCTATATTCTGTTTTGAATTTGTTTAATGTCCCATTTCTCATCATCCTATATGTCTCATACAATATACATTCCTTCAGCATAAATAAAATGTAGGTAGTTAATCATTATGCATTAAAAGTCTAAGAAACAAGGTATTTAATCTGAAAATATATGTTGTTATCTCAACAAGTTTAGTGAAAATAACTTTACTTTTAAGTTTATCACATTTATTTTGTCGATTTTTAGGCGACCCTGTTATTATTGAATTATTCTGAATTAAAAGATTATATTTATTAACCTGTAAGAATTCCGGCCACCTGTTATTTCCATCATCATCGATTAAGTTCCTAGCAACCTCAGAAGCAACATCACAAACTTTATGTCGAGTTGTATAAGATTGTTCAAGCGGTATTGCAAGTAAAATTTGCTCCTTGAGTTGACTTTGACTCTCGACAGGCAACTTGGGGAAGAATTCGTAAAAGTCATTGGCAAATAATCTTCGTAACAGTACTGCGGACATTTGACGAGCTTCATCACTAAGACCAATGTTGTGCAAAGACTGAAGTAAATAGCTGACCTTGTTTTCTATAGAAATCCCATTGTACGCCTCCTAAAAAATCATTAAGGGGTGCGTTAGCGAAAAGAATCACATTTTGGCGGGAAATTTGTACGAAATAAACTAAAAATTAGATATCTTCCTATTTAAAATAATTGAAATGTTTATTTAAAAAGCGGAAATAAATGGCTTAAAGGATTAGTATTCACCACGTTTTTCGCGGATGATTCACTCAATGTGCCGAAATGACATGACTGTTTCGTTCGTCGACCGAACACGTTGCCTCATTGCACGATATTTCCAAACAAATTGTCGCCACCACGAGAAACTATGCGACATAAATAATTGCAGAAACGATAGGAAATGATTAAATCTATGTACTCACCTCTGCCTGACTCCTAACATTATTATCTGTTGACAAAAGAGTCGATAAAAGCTGGGTAAACTGGTCCTGGTCAGCGGCCATGGTCCCAACAAATGAAAAAGAACAAGTCCAATACAGCCAACGACAGGCCGAAAGTTACTATTACGACACAATTCGCCGACTTATACACAAATTTTTAACGTTAAAACAGAACGAACGAATAAAACAAAAAAGGAATTTTTAATTAACTCCACAAATTAAACGTCAAACTGAAAAACGCTTTTTGTTGTTTTCTAGACCATGACAACAAGAAGTTTTTTGGCTTTTTCAAAGCAAATTATAGGGTTGCAATAATTTTATGTTGGCATCCCAAGCTTATTCCCAAAATAATACCAACCTTAATTTACATGTCAAAAATATCACTAGATAAAGTCATAAACACGTGGTGCTTATAGGTTATGTTATTAAAAAATATAACTAATTAATTTTAATAATTAATAATCAATAAAGTAAGTAAATAAAATATCTTTAAAACAAATTCTATTAATACAAATGATATAATTAATTTATTTTTTTAAGATGGGTAAAGTAAGATCAACTTCTGGGCCCCCCAGAAAACAGGGGTTCAATCGATCAGGTCACTCAATGAACCCTGAAAGATCATCGGAAGGACTGAAAGGGGTGGCCAAAATTCGTACAAAATCGACAATAAAACGTCTTCAAATGTATCGTAATTTCAAAGCAAAAAGAGATAAAACCGGAAAGATTTTAACCCCCGCCCCATTTCAAGGATGGTTACCATCCGGTACGAGAGCGCGAGTAGAACCAAATCAAAAATGGTTTGGGAACTCTCGAGTTATATCTCAAAATGCCCTCCAAAAATTTCAATCGGAATTAGGAGCTGCTATAAAAAATCCTTATCAAGTTATCATGAAACCAACAACTTTACCTGTAACACTTTTAAGTGAAAAAGCAAAACATGCCAGAGTCCATTTATTGGATACTCAGAGTTTTGAAAGCGTTTTTGGGCCTAAAAAAAGTCGGAAAAGGCCAAATTTAGCTGTTAAAGGTCTAGAAGAATTAACAGAGTTAGTTGAGAAAAATACTGAAGAGTATATTGATGAGAAAGATTCGAATATTATCAGGGATGATGGAGGTGTTAAAGCTTTGAGTAGAGATTGGGTGATGGGGGCTGGGCAATCAAAAAGGATTTGGAATGAGCTTCATAAAGTGATTGACAGCTCAGATGTACTTCTTCAAGTATTAGATGCAAGAGATCCAAACGGAACTCGCTCAGCTTATTTAGAAAAGTTTTTAAAAACGGAAAAACCCCACAAACATTTAATTTTTATTTTAAACAAAGTTGATTTAGTACCCACTTGGGTAACTCAACGTTGGATTGCCATTTTAAGCTCAGAATATCCAACAGTCGCTTTCCATGCCAGTATAACACATCCATTCGGAAAAGGATCATTAATCAATCTTTTAAGACAATTCGGAAAATTGCATGTCGATAAAAAACAAATTTCCGTCGGGTTTATCGGTTACCCCAATGTGGGAAAATCATCGGTTATTAACACTTTAAGGAGTAAGAAAGTCTGTAAGGTAGCCCCAATTGCGGGAGAAACAAAAGTTTGGCAATACATTACTCTAATGAGACGTATTTATTTAATCGATTGTCCTGGAGTTGTTTATCCATCATCAGAAACGGATACAGAAAAAGTTTTAAGAGGCGTTGTAAGAGTCGAACTTGTAAATAATCCCGAGGATTACATCCAAGCGGTTTTAGAACGCGTTAAATACGAATACTTAGTTAAAACTTACAAAATTTCCGGGTGGACGAATCACGTTGAATTCTTAGAAAAATTAGCATACCGAAGCGGAAAATTATTAAAAAAAGGCGAACCTGATATTGCAATTGTAGCTCGAATGGTTCTTAACGATTGGCAAAGAGGAAAATTACCGTTTTATGTCGCACCACCTGGTTTCGAAGTACCTTTACCTAAATCAGATGAACAAAAAGCTGAGGAAAATTTATCTGTTGTACAAGATTTTAGGAAAATTAAAGTGAATTTGGATTATGAAGGTGACGATATTAAAGATTTAGAACCAATTCCTAATGTAACTAAAAATGAAAATGGCGATAATGATGAAAATAATAAAGATAAAGAAAACGAACATAATGAAATTAACGATTTAAATGAAACTGTAGCGAATGATACAGAAGAAATTGATAATCATTCTGATTCTTCATCAGATATAAGCAATTTTTATTCCGATTTTGAAGATTTTGTCGCTGAAACAACCAGCGGGGACTTTACTGTTGAAAAAACTGATAATAAAAAGAATTTGACAAGTCGACAAAGAAGAGCTATTGAAAGGCGACTCAAAAGGAAGAAGATTGGAAGTAATTTCTACGAAGTCACGAATGTTAAGAATAGAAACAGAAAAAAGAAAAAGATTGTTAAATAAAATAATTTTATTTGTCCAATAAATAATTAATGTCCCAATTATTTTATTTTGATTGGCTTATTTGATACTTTAGCAAAATTGAAGACTTCTATAATTTTTTATTTTTCAAACTGGACTTTAGATTTTCAAAAAAAAAAAAAATAATGAAAATTTGAAAAAAACTTTGGCGACGTCATGTCGTTTCGCACGCGATTGGGTGAAATAAAAATCAATAAAAGGTGCATGAGCGAGATGCCACGAGAATCTTATGCGCTAGAAGAAGAGATCCGAACGATGCAGGTTTGTGTCTTCTTGATCTTACGCGAAAACTTCGTACACGTCACTAAAACATTTATAGAGGGGATTTTGTATTTTAATATTATTTATTGCAAAAATTAAATAATTTTACATAGTTTATCGATTTTTTGAAAGACGGTTTTTCTATTCGATTGAGAATAACGGCCCGATTGGTTATAATCTAATTGTAATTTAAATCGACTTAGTATTATCGGTTTTTGGATTAACCAAAGTCCGTTGAGTAAACGTACTGTATAAGGTTATCCAACTCCCTATGAACACTGTTCTTATGAACGTATCCCCTCCGCAAAGGCCTTATTGTGACGTCATTGGAGAATTGTCATTTCTATGTTTTCATTTATACAGGACTTCCCAAAACTCCCGGGACGGAGCTATAAGTTTTGAACGAGTAAAGAACAAAATTTGAATATTTGGGGATCACTAAAGCGTCATAAAAACTACATTCTTAGATAGTTTAGAACTTCCCTGCAATGTGGAGTTTTTTTAGAGGATGACCCCCTCTACCACATTTCAATAAAATCGTTCAACAAATTCTAGGTGTTGCAATTTTTATGGAAGTCAGTATATATATAATAACTCGTTTTTTAAACACTGTAGTTGTTATTGAACCTTCTCATCCTAAGAAAGACTTACCACAATGTAAGCGATACCAAAATTTTGGTCATACAAAAGCTTACTGCAACAGTGATCCCTGTTGCACCTCACTACCGATTGTCCCCGTCAATTACGAAGTGACCACGTCAAGTGTGTTAACTGCGGAGAAAACCATCCTGTAAAAACTACAGAGGTTGCCTTGTTTATAAAGAACTGCAAAAGAAACAGTTTCCAACTTGGTTCTTAAACATATTCCTGAGCATGGGCTACGAATAGTACTGCTTATGTTCAACGCAAGACTAGGATCATTCCCGATACAATGGAAGGTGTCCCAGGTAACTATGGTGCTGAAACCAAATAAAATCACGAGCGGCGTAACTTCCTACCGCCCAATAAGTTTATTTCCTTTGCTTTCAAAAGTATTCGAAAAGCTCTTATTGAAGAAACTTCAGAGCATTAACAGGAATTAACTTTTTATGTTAATTCCTAACTATCAATTTGGATTTATAAAACTGCATGGTACTATAGAACAATTACATAGAGTAGTAAGATCAGCTAGAGATGCCCTAGAGGCCAAAAAATATTGTACAGCAGCTTTTTTAGATGTGTCACAGGCTATCGACGCTACGGCATGACGGTTTGTAGCCAAACTTAAAACCTATCTACCTTATCCAGTATGTACACTATTGGAATCATATCTTATTTTTCGTTAAACAAAATGACGCATATTCGCTGCTGCTACCGATACATGCTGGAGTTCTTCAATGTAGTATTTAGGGGCCTACTCTATATTTCAGCAAGCAGGAATAGCCCGCTGTAACATTGTTAGCCCCCCATCATCAAGCTTCCTGGGAAGCGAGTCTGCATGAGAAGCTCTAATGAGGTTCTGCTGGAGTCCGTAAAACTGCCGTCAGACCGCTTAAGTGAGCTCAGTGGCAGTGCCGAATCTCTAGCGAGAATTCTTGCACTCCTGAATGTGCCTTTCATTCAGAGCCGGATCACACCTTTTGTGGGCCCGAGGCGCTCCACATTTTTTCATTACCTCACAGAACCTCCTCCAAAACTCTCCTTTTGCCTTACGAATTCGTTAGAGCTTGTTTATATTGCTCCCATTCACCTAATGTCTTGGTCCGGTTAAAAAGCCTCCGGACCTCATGTCTTTCGGAGCTCTGTCCAACTGTTACGTTAAATAATGCTCCATCACCTATTCAAAATCAAGTCAAATACCTGGGAATTTACTTGGATCATCACCAAACCTGGAAAAAACATATATGGACCAAACGGCTTCAATTAGGACTGTTATACAGGAAAATGCACTGGGTTATGAATAAAAACTCACAACTCAACCTAGACTTGTTGCTTATATATACTGCCATACTGAAACCTGTTTGGGAATACGAACTTGGGAACTTGGGAACGCAGCGATTTCAGTCTAAAGTTCTTCGAGAAATATGTAAGGCACCTTGATTTGTACCTAATTACATCTTACATCAAGACCTCAATATGCTTACTTTAAAAGAAAAATGCTGCAAATTCATCCAAATCGACTTGCAGAAAAATCTGTTGTGTCGGGCAACTATTAAAAGATTGAAGCCTACCAGAAATATCCATGTCAGAATAAAGAACGTACCTATCTTTCATTTATTATACTATACAAATATGTTATTGTTTGTCACAACCATGCATTAATATGGTTTTCTTTTGGACCTACTATTGAGCGGGTTCCTACTGTGTTATTTGTTTTTTATTGTTAAACATACTGTTTATTGTTGTTGTAAGCGATAGATTGCAGTAATAAAAGGACAATGAAAAAAATAAATAAACAAATAAAATTAAAAAAAAAACATTCCGTCACTACTAAAAACTAATTGCGTTTTAACTGTGATTTTAGCCAGGACCAAAGTACTAAAAATTCAACGTGTTACATAAAACCACAAGGTTTAATTTTTAACTATTTTTAAAAAAATTTCAACCTCATGTTCCCGAATGCATACGTTAAAATCACGCGCTGCAATGTTGCAACATTATTTGCAATTGTTATTAACTCAAACCGCTAATCAATCTTAATTTAATCAATTCTCGTTGATAATTTTAATAAACGAAAACAACCAGACCTCCCAGAACATATTACCCTAATCGAATTTGTAATTAAACGTGATAAATTTTTGTTATCTTTCGATGTGTTAAAACTGGCAACGAGGTTTCATCTGTCACGTACGAAAAGTTCCGTGTACACAATGGCCCCAAGTGAGACGATATAAAATTGTTTGTATTAAATTGTAAAGATCAGCCATAATTATGTAGGGGTTTTAACAAGGAATGTGAGATGCTCGTCTCGAAAATTTCAAATGATCACGCTGCCGATACAACATCATGCGTTCAAGGTATAATTAAAAGTTACATAACCTAAAAAGTTTTAGTAAACGTCAAATTTTGACGTATATATGTCAAGTCAATGATTTGTTACTCGATTTGAGTTGTTACTGCAGTAAAAAGGAATGGATCTTAAAGCAGGAAATTCTTTTGTAGAAACAACCACGATGGCCACAACAACAACCAGAACCATCGTGGACTGGAGATCACAATGTGTACCTGAATGGAGAGAGTTTTTATGTGGTTGCGGTTCTGCTATTATTAATATTACAATTACTTATCCTATCAATAAATTAATATTTCGACAGGTAAAAATATGCTTTAACTTAAAATTTTTATTTAATATTATTTATTTTAGATGTTACATGGAGTTAAAGCTCACAGTGCATTCCGAGATTTACGCCATGAAGGGATTTATTTCCTTTATCGAGGAATGCTACCACCAATGCTTCAAAAGTCCTTATCTTTCTCAATAATGTTTGGTGTTTATGATGAAGTAAAACGCCCATTATCATATTTAAACGTAAACAGTTATATTGCTCGAACAATCGCCGGTCTTGTCGCAGGGTCTTTAGAAGCCGTTTTCACTCCATTTGAACGAATACAAACTCTTTTACAAGACTCCACGTACCACCTTCATTTTCGCAACACTTTCGATGCGGTCAAAGTAATTGGAATCAACTATGGCCTGAAAGAGTATTACAGAGGTGCACACGCAATCGTTTTACGAAACGGACCAGCGAATGCGTGTTTTTTTATTCTAAGAGAAGAATTATCGTGTTATATTCCAGCGTATAGTTCCGAAATTGTACGGACGTTATTTCAATTTATTTGTGGGGCATCGATTGGTGCTGGAGTTTCATGTTTATTCTATCCGCTAAATGTGGGGAAAGTTAGTTTACAAAGTAAAGTAGGGGGAACGTTTGATTCGATTTTTACAACTTTACCGAAGATATATCGCGAACGAGGTTCGAAATTGAGATATGTATATAGAGGAGTACACGTAAATTGTACGAGATCGTTTATTAGTTGGGGTGTGATCAATGTTGCGTATGAGAATATTAAAAAATTTGTGTACGAAGAACGACGGAAATTTTAGAGACGTGTTGTGTATGATATACATGATTATATATTTTTTAATTTATTTTTTTAGAACAAGATATTGTGATCAACTTAGGAAATCGATGAGTCTTTTATTTTCCATAAATAATTTTTAAGGATACCTCAATGATGTTATTTATTGTGTTTATTTTATTTTTGTTTTAATTTTTTTGATCTCTAAAACTATAAATATTTTTACAATTTAATAACCAATGGATAATTAATTAAATTAAATTGAATTAGTGAAATTGTTATAGAAATCTTAGATGCTTTTTTAAATTAAATATTGTTGCCAAATATTTTTATTATTTAGCAGAGTTGCAAATAGAAACGAATCTTTTCGACAAATAAATGTGAATGTTACCGATTGATATTTTCTTATACTTTTAATTCTCTTCCTTAATTACAACTAAAAATATCATAATAAATGCATTTGGCACCTATTCTTTGTCCTCCTTTCCAAATAATTAAAGATACAAATAAGAATTAAAAGCAATTTTGATTTACCGACCACAAAAAGCTTTTGATATACAGTATGGTCCGTTATTATTATTGCTGCCTAAAGTCCCTAGATTATTCGTTGAGTAAACATACTGTGTATGTCATGAACGTATCCCCCCGCAAAGGCCTTGCTGTGACGTCATTGGAAGAATTGACGTTTCTATGTTTTTATTTATACAATGTATTTCACTTAAGAAGCAATATACAAAAAAAAAATAAAATTAAAAAAATATTAAAATATAAAGCGAAATATTAACGGTTATAATTTTATTATTGTTAGGTTATCCAACTTGACTCGGTTACCATGGTGATTAAGATCCAAATATTGCAGGTGCTTGTCAAAATAGAAATTGAATTTAAGTTTTTTTTTAAGAAAAAAGTCTTATTTAATTGGTTTAAAAGGCTGTATTTAACTCAAAATTGGTTTATCTAGTAGGGTATTATAAACAAGGTAAGTGAATTAAATCAAAAAGAGATATTTTTAATTTATTTCTCTTAATTAGAATCGATTTAAATTAACTACAATTAACGAATTTGTTATAAATGCGAGATAATCGTAAAGCATTCGAATTGTTTTAAAATTAATAAAAATTAAGTTGAATAGATAAAAAAATCGGAATAAAATTCTATTATTTTAAGGTTATCCAACTTGACTCGGTTACCATGATGATTAATATAAATATTGCAGTTGATTGTCAAAATTGACCTTGAATTTAAGTTTTTTTAATGAAAAACACATAATTAATTGGATTTAAAGGTTGTATTTAATTCAAAATAGGTAAATGAATGAAATTATAAGCAAGGTAAGTGGATTAAATCCAAAAAAAAAATGTTTAGATCAATTAAAATGTACAAGAATTTAGGGTTAAATAACAATTAAAAGTAGAACTAACACTAGAACTAGAAAGTTTTAGGTTTAGCCGGGCGTCTTAGACAAGAACTTAGAAAAATCTGAAGACGTACGGCTAAACCCGAATATTTCTAGTTCTAGGTCTAGTGTTAGTTCTAGTTTTACATTAGCACTATTACTAGAATGTATCACTAGATGTTTGTAAACTGTACATACCTTATATACCTTATAAATAAGTTTTCTATAACAAAAGGGTAGTCATTTTTATTCATGGGTAGTCAACTTGACAAACTAATAATTTGAAACGTTAAAATTTCAAAAAACGTCAATTTAATTTAATTTTTTTAGGACTTTCTAAAATTCTAAACAAATTTCTTTTTTCGTATGATGTAAGCATAAATTAATTAATTTTAGTAAAAAAAACATGACGTTTCATAAAATTGACATTTCATTTTGACAAATTGTTGTGAAGTTGATTACGGTTGGTGACATTGAATTTGTGTCACATTGACGTTTAAATTTTATTCAAAAATTTATTTAAAAAAAATAAATTTATGGAATCAATTTCAATAGTAGTGGTAGTCTTGGAAGGTTATTTTTTAAAGGAAAAGCTGTGTCTCCGTCTATAGCTTTATCTATATTAGTCCCGGGGAATTTTTTAGAACTTAGGTATTTGATTTTGACAAAATCCCACCATCACTGTCTTTGCCGAATACACCGACGTTTACAGCTATAAAGTTATAATTCGCGTCAGTCATAGCCAAAAGTACAATAGAACATGTTTTCTTACAATTAAAATAAAGAGGAGTTAGTATTGGACTAATTGTAAGATTAATTGGGTTAAATCATAATAATTTAACGTAAGGAATTCACTGTTGCTTTGTGCCATTACAAACGGACCACCTGTATATAAAAGGGTACGGAAATTCAAAAATACTAAGATATTTTTAAAGATCAACTGAGTCGAAGTGAAAAACCTCGTTTTAAATTCAATTATAAATAAAATGTTCAAGAACTTGGGTTGTTTTCAAATTTGAACCCATAAATTTAATCTGCACAGTTTTTGAAGGAAGTTATTTTTAAAACTCTCCGGGTGTTTTAATAAATTAACATTCACGTGTACAACAAGTGTTTAATGATTTGTAAAACGTCGGAAAAGAAATATACTAAAAATACGTACGGCGCGGTCTTTGTCCTGTTCATCCTGTTGGGGCTATAAAAGCAGAATCTTGGAGGAAGAAGTTTATTTTGTTATACCACATCAAAGAGATTGGATGATTTAAAAAGTATTACTTATTTTTTATAACATATTAGAATTTGTTTTAAGGTCAAGGATAAGTATTAACTTATTAATCTTATCGGGAATTATTTAACAAAAAAACTTAACCTAAAAATCTAAAGTCATCTTTACCCGGTGAGTTATTTATTAAAATGTAAGTTATTAGACCATATTTTTTTGATATTTTAATTTAAACATGCGTTATATTTCTTAATTAGATGGCAAATTCTACGGAAATCACCGAAATCTCCAACAACAAAATGTTCGGGGGCCACCAAAAAATATTCTCCCATAACTCCAAAACCGTGGGTTGTGTTATGAAATTCGCCGTTTATTTACCACCACAAGCTGATGAGAAAAAAGTTCCAGTTATTTATTGGTTATCAGGTTTAACATGTAATGAGCAAAATTTTATTCAAAAATCTGGAGCTCAAAAGTAATTATTGTTAACTAAAAAAGAATCTTTTTGATAACTTAGGACATTTTAAATCAATTATGTTTTATTATAGATATGCAGCTGAACATGGAGTAATTCTTGTAGCTCCAGATACTTCACCAAGAGGTTTAAACATTCCCGGTGACTCCGAAAGCTGGGATTTTGGAGTTGGTGCTGGGTTTTATGTTGATGCCACCCAAAAACCGTGGAGTGAAAATTATAAGATGTTTAGTTATGTAACTAAAGAATTAGTAGAGATTGTTAAAACAAATTTTCCTATTTTGGAAGGGCAACAATCAATTATGGGGCATAGGTAAAAAATAACAATTCCTGATTTACTTTATTTACTATAATTTATGAAGGCATGAGTTTATTTTTGACATTGAATATTTATTTCAATAGTTTCCTATTTTAATGTTTTTTTACTGGTGCCAAAATGACAAAAACAGGTGCACCATATGTAAATCTAAAGAAAAAATATTGTTTGTTTTTTTAAGAACACAAAAAAAACTTCAAAACCTTATTTTTAGTATGGGAGGTCACGGGGCGTTAATTTGCGCATTGAAAAACCCAGGTTTATATAGAAGCGTATCCGCTTTTGCTCCCATTTCGAACCCTATCAATTGCCCATGGGGCGAAAAAGCTTTTTCTGGATATCTCGGCCCGAAAGAAACCGGAAATTGGGAAGAATGGGATGCCACTGAGTTGGTAAAGAAATACAATGGACCATCTTTAATAATTCTAATTGATCAAGTAAATCATAAAAATATTTGTCCACAGCTACCTTATGATATTGTATATATATACCTTATAAAAGGGTAGTCATTTTTCACAGAATGAATAATAGCGGTGAATAATCATTATTCACGGGTAATCAACTTGACAGCCTAAAATAATAATTATTTGAAACGTCAAAATTTCAAAAAACGTCAATTTAATTTAATTTTTTTAGGACTTCCTAAAGATTTGACATTAAAAAAACGTAAACAAATTCCGTTTTTTCTATGATTTAAGCATAAATTAATTAATTTTCGTAAAAAAAAACGAGGTTCCATAAAATTGACATTTAATTTTGACAAATTGTTGTGAAGTTGGTTACAGTTGGTAACATTGAATTTGTGTCACATTGACGTTTAAACTTTATTCAAAAATTTATTTAATTTATGGAATCAATTTCGATAGTAGTCGTGGACAAAGTATAGTATTCTATTTTAAAAACACATATTTAAATTATTATCAAATTTTTAGGGCAGTGCGGATGAATTTTATGCAAAAAAACAACTTCTCCCCGAAAATCTTCTCTCTGCTTGTCAATCTTCAAACGTTCCAGCAATTTTAAAGCTTCGCGATGGTTACGATCACAGTTATTATTACATCGCTAGTTATATTGGTGATCATATTGAATATCACATGCAAAATTTATCACTCTGAGATACGAAGAATGGAGATGGGCCAGCTTCCCGTTTTTACAGCTTGGTTTTTCTCCCACTTTTTTACGATGCAGATTTTTGTTTATGTTGATTAATGTTGATTTAATAATAAAGAAAAGACACATAATAAAAGTTTTATTAAATAATTTGTTTATATATTTATGTATAGTAGAAACCACGAGAGCTTAAAAATGGTATGAATTATATGTCAAATGTTGTCAAAGATAGTTGAGGTTAACCAGTGAAAAAGCGTTAATATTAATTTATAATAAAGTTTATATAATTATTAACTTATTTAACAAATAGTTTAAAAGGTTATTTACAGGTCGTAAGGGTTTAACACATTGGCTGCCACGTCATTCATATATGAATGTCATTGATGACGTCATGACGTGGCAGCCAATGTGTTAAGTAAATTTTATTTAAACAGTGGTTCAACGCTTACAAGACTTTTCGATTTGAGGTTGGGATTACGGTAGGTACATCCGTTAGAAGAACAGCCGTACTTTACGACGTGGCTATTTGAATTGTACAGCAGATATATTAAACTAATGACATCTCCTTCTACCACCAGCGGTTTATGAATTTTAATTTACTGTGTATGGCATGTGTAAGAGCGGAAAACGAGACTCACTGTCACCTCTCGTGGTTTCTACTTTAAATAGCTTTGTAAATGGAATATAAATAACCTCACAATTTATCTGCTTGTCAACTTTTAAACATTTTAAAGCTTTGTGAAGGTTATTATTAGATAGCTAGTTACATTGGTGATCATATTGCATAGCACATGCAAAATTAGTCTGTCTGAGATACTTAGAATAGAGATGGGCTTCCTGTTACAGCTTGGTTTTTCTCCCACTTTTTTACATTTAAAGATATTTAAGATAAAGAAAAGACGCATAATAATTGGCTAATCATAATAAAAGTTTTATTAAATAAGTTTTTTGTATATTTATGTACATAGTGTTTGTAGATGAAATATACACAACCTCACAATGTATGTTCACTTTATTGCCCCTCTTATTTCGTGCCAATATTGGAGGATTGGGTCACGTTTTAACCACATATGTTCATGACCCCAATAGGCCCAAGCTACACCGCACGCTGCTCCACCTAAATGAGCTGCATGATCGAATATTTTCCAACCTAATAATACTCCAGCTGTATCTAAAGCTATTATAGCTTTAATTGCCTAAAATAAATAAATAAAGTTATAATTACGATTTCTTATATATTAAATTGAGTGATAAAGTGTAGTGTGTTAATTAATTATCGTACCCGGCGTCATCACTGCAAGTATGCAACCAATATCACAGTATTGGTACGCGATTTGCGTCATTGCTGTGATATTGGTTGCATACTTGCAATGATGACGTCGGGTACGATAATTAATTAACACACTGTATAATAATAAAAGGAACTTACACTCCCTGCTGAAAATGTTAGGAAAGGTAATAAAATAATTCCTAGCTTTGTATCTGGATATTGAGTACATACATAACCTAAAATAGCCATTATTGCTCCTGACTAAATAAAAACAAAAATTACTACAACAAAATTCCAAAATTATTACTTCACTTACTGCACCAAGTGATAGTCCTGGTTGTTTTGTAACAGCTTTGTACACATAGCTTGTGAAACTAGATATTACACCTGCGCTAAGGTACAAACCTAAGAATTGTTCTTTTCCTAAACTTGCTACAGCACCTACAATTTTGCGCATGTAATAACATTAAAATTAAAGGTGTGTAATACATACCGGTACTAAAACTATGTAAAACATACATATTTGCTAACAAATGGAACAAAGAATAATGACTAAATGTAGATAGCAGCATAGGCCAACAAATGGAAGAGCTGGATGGGTTAGAACAAAAATATTTCAACATGGTAGGTTGCAATCGAGGTATACGCCAAGCAAAAAAGATTAGAACATTTATAAAACATATTGGGGCAAAAACTTTTTCCCCTGGTGACAGTTTATTCCACCATGTATTCATTTCCTTTCTTAGAGATCCCTGTAATATAAAAAAAGAATTATTTAAATAATATTCATACCAACTTTTTAATATAAAAGCTTTTAAGAACAATTTTTATTTTAAAAGCCAAAGCTAAATTAAAACTGAACTAAAAACAATGTTTTTAAAAGCTGAATTCAAACCAACATAATTATATAATAATAATCTTACAAATTTATTGTCAATTCTCTTTTGCATAAAGTCCATAGGTCTATGCAACATACTTATTGCATGGGCTCTCATGTTTTCATATTGCCATATCACTGCACCTCCAAAGCACAGCGCACTAAACTAAGAAAATACATTAGAATTTATAGTTTAGTTACTTATTTACATTAAAATTAAATGTTTCACTTACACCAACAGTAAATCCTAATGGTTTCAATAATGTAGTAGCATTAACCCGATGGGTACTAAGATTAACATTAGCAAAAGGTGGAGCTATACTTTCAAAAACGTTTTTCTCATCTTGTCGAACTCTTTTAAAACGACGCACATGTTTTGGCGGTTGTAAAAGGAGCCTCTGGTTAAATAATGTTTTGGTTGGACTAGAAAAAAAGTGAGGTTATGTTTTAAATTTTAAGATTACATTTTTAAAGTAATTTACCACAATTCACCAAGTTTTATCATACGAGATAGTGCCATTACATCAATTAATGATCTCCGAACGTAGGGCTCAGTTTTTGAGGGGTGTTTTCATAATTTTTTATGATGTTATATGTGCGTCGTATTTCGAGGAAATGTCAAATGATTTAACACTTCCGAAAATTACAAACATTTTTTTGAAAAACCCAAAGTATTTTTGTTGATTTAGATAGTTGTATATAAGTTTAATTTTATAATAAGAGGTTAATTTAAAAAAAAATAAATAAAAGCAAATACAATATATGCGATTTTGAAGAGATAAATGTCAAAAAAATGTGTTACCAACATTAATTTGATTTACATAAAATTAAATATTTCAATAAAACGAGGACTAAAAGCAAAAAGTAATAATTATCGTGGTACACACTTTATTAAAAAAAAGAAAATGTAAAGAAGAATACATATCACTTAAAAAACTAATTTGAGAAAATAAAAAATTGACTAGAAAAAAAGTGAGGTTATGTTTTGAATTTTAAGATTAATTTTTAAAGTGATTTACTACCATTCCCAAATTTTATCATACGGGATAGTGCCATTACATCAATTAATGATCTCCGAACGTAGGGCTTAGTTTTTGAGGGATGTTTTCATAATTTTTTATGAAATATTTTTTTTTTGTATTTGTTATACAATGTGTGTCGTATTTCGAGGAAATGTCAAATGAGTTAACACTTCCAAAAATTACAAACATTTCTTTTGAGACACCCAAAGTATTTTTGTTGATTTTAGATAGTTGTTTATAAGTTTAATTTTATAATAAGAGGTTAATTTCCAAAAAATGAATAAAAGCAAATACAATATACAGGTGTCCCGTATCTTCCGCATCAGAGCATTAACGGTTGAAGGATGCATTATTCTGAAGCGATTTTTATAATAAATTTTTTTCGAAATGTTTATAATAACCGCACGGGAACTGTTTAAAATTCTCCGCTTTTGTCCAATAACAGACGATTTTGATTTATAAAAAAAGTTTATTTCTTTTTGCGTGTCGAATCTATTGGTAAGAAACGTGTTTTGATCGGTGCGGCGGCCTGACCTAGGGTTGATTTGCGATTTGCCATTGGACGTCGAAAAACAGTTCCCGTGCGCTTATTATAAACATTTCGAAAAAAATGTATTAGAAAAATCACTTCAGAATAATGTCAACGTCAATTATGATATATTTGTAATCGTCGTGAAAAATCCTTTAAAAAGAGCCCAAACATGATACTTTTAATTCTAATATTACTCGAGATATAAGCAACTTCCGATTTGAAATGTCAATGTCATTTTGACATATTCTTAATTTTTATAAAATGTTTTAAAATTTATCACAAAAACATAAATACAATAAAAACAATTAAAAATTAAGGTTGGTATTAATATTTAATAATTAAATTGCTATCTTAATTGTTGCTAACTTCAGGTTTAACGTTTTTTTATTCGAACTTTTTTGTTTTTTGAGATAAGTGCGTCATGTTTGGACTCATTTTAAAGGTTTTTTTAATAAAGAATACATCATGAAAGAACACCATGAAGTTGTCCATTTGTCTATTACATGATAACTAACTTCAGATTTAAAATGTCAACCCCAATTTTGACATATTTGTAATCTTCATTACAAATCCTTTAAAATGAGTACAAACACGACATATTTATTTTAAATATTAATGAAGTTATGGTCAACTTTCGGTTACCAACGTCAACGTCAATTTTGACATATTTGTAATCGTCGTGAAAAATCCTTTGAAATGAGCCCAAACATGATATGTTTAATTCCAATATTACTCGAGATATAAGCAACTTCCGCTTAGAAATGTCATTTTGACAAATTCTTAATTTTTATAAAATGGCTTAAAATTTATCACAAAAACAAAAATACAATAAAAAAATTAAGGTTGGTATTTATATTTAATAATTAAATTGATATCTTAATTGTTGGTAACTTCGGGTTTAACGTTTTTTTATTCAAACTTTTTTGTTTTTTGAGATAAGTGCGTCATTTTTGGACTCATTTTAAAGGATTTTTTATAAAGTTGACAAATATGTCAAAATTAAAAGTTGACAGTTCAAACTTTTTGGTTTGAACTTCAAACCGTTGAAGTCAATTTTGACAAGCAACTGCAGTATTTGGATCTTAATCACCATGGTAACTGAGTCAAGTTGGATAACCATAAAATAATAAAATTTTATTCCGATTTTTTTATCAATTCTAACCTAATTTTAAAACAATTCGAATTCTTTACGATTATCTCGCATTCATAACAAATTCGTTAATTGTAGTTAATTTAAATCGATTATAAAAAATATCTTTTTTAGATTTAATTCATTTACCTTGTTTATAATACCCTAGATCAACCAATTTTGGGTTAAATACAGCCTTTTAAACAAATTAAATAAGACTTTTTCTTTAAAAAAGCTTAACTTCAATTTCAATTTTGACAAGCACCTGCAATCAAATGTATCCTGCAACCGTGTAACGCTCTGATGCGTAAGATACGGGACAGGGTGTATACGCTTTTGTAGATATAAATGTCAAAAAAAGTGTTACCAACATAAATTTGATTTACATTAAATTAAATATTTCAATAAAACGAGGATATTTTTAACCAAAAAAGCAATAATTATCGTGATACACTTTATTTAAAAAAAAGAAAATGTAAAGAAGAATACATATCACTTACAAAACTAAGTTTGAGAAAATAAAAAATCGTATGTAAATTTAAAAAAACTATTAAGATATTCCTAAAAATTACAATCGAAGAAAAATATTCCCCTTATTGTTACTTATTTAGTATGATTGTGTTCCTAAATTTTATCCTGTAAACAATAAATACGCCATAAAAAAATACTGGAAATCTAAAACTTAGAGACGTAATTCTCTCGGATACACTAAAAAAAAATTCGCGGATTTGTGATAAAAAGTATCAAAAGAACGGGAGGCAGTAGTAGTAGTACTGACGACAATGGTGCGTGGCCTTTAACACGTACAGAAACAGTCACGTTATTCTTATTTAGACCTGATGTTAGTAAAAGCCTTGCATTTTGGACAGGATTACAATTCAAATTTATCGAAAGTATCCAGTTTAGCTTTTTGATCATCTGTATCATTTTGAGCTATCAAAAGTGTATGAGAAAGACCCATCGCTAAGTGTAATACCTTAACGCCACTCAAACGAGTTACCTAAAATAAAAAGGTTATTTAAGAAATAATAACTATGGCAAACATTTTTTAAATAAAACTTACTTCTTTTGGTGTAGTCGAAGATTTTGTAATATCACCAAAACCTAATTCCCCATAAGTTGGTGAAGCTCCCCAAGCAATAACAGTATCATCAGCAGCTATAATAATTGATGTATTCCCAGTGGCAACTAAATGAATATCCCACCCAGCTAAATCTTGAACTGGTTTTGGATACATATTCGCTTCCCCGGTACGTTTGGTCTGTCCGAACATAAACAGCGCCCCAAAATCGGTGACGGCAAGACTGTACGTGGAACCACAATGAACGGATCGAACACCTCGAGATTGAGTATCAAAGTATTTTATTAATCGGGGCACAAATTCGTCTTTTTGTTCTGCGTGCCCAAGTCTTCCAAACCCACCAAAACCCCACGAAAAAGCTCGCTTTTTGCTATCAATTGCCACAGTGTGGTTTTGACCACAATTAAAATCAACGATTTCGGTTACATCAACGGGCGAAACATGACCATCTTTACCTTTCTCAATATAAAGAACAACCCGTTTAGGACTCGTTTCAAAATTATAACAAAGTTTTGTGTTTGTTTTAAAGTATTTCCCATCTGTGTTATGTCCAAGTTGACCATATTCAGGTAATCCGAATGAATGTAAGCCTCCTTTTATATCAAGAACTAGTGAGAATTCCGCACCACAACCAACCTAATCATAATTATCGTTAATTTTCTTTTTTATTCAAAAGTACAGTGAAACCTCAATATAACGGATTAATATAGCGAAGACACTAGATCTTAAAATAGAAACTTAAGATGGCTAAACCCGAATGATTCTGATTGTAGATTTAGTGTTAGTTCTACTTTTAGTTCAATAAATATATACAACAATATAGCTGAATAACAGTTAAAACTAGAACCAATATTAAAATAACATAATAAAAATGTGTCTAAAACTATGTAAACTTGTCTAATTATTTAAAACAGCAAAATTTATTTAAATTTGGCTTATCATTCACAAATTTTAAATATACATAAACCATTACAAAATTATCTATAATAAAAAAATGTTCCACAATGATTAAACTGCATCTAAAATTATGTAAATTTGTCTATAATTGTTTAAAATCGCAAAAGTTGTTCAAATTCATTCAAACTTTTACAAAATTGTCTAAAAACAACTTGTCTATAATTGTTTAAAATCGCAAAATTTGTTCAAATTCATGCAAACTTTTACAAAATTGTCTAAAATGATTCAAATTGTCTAAAATTAAAAAGTTTGGCGTAATTTAGATAATATTAGCCACCTTTTGATCATTGTAGATAGTTTTGAACAAGTTTTGTCTAAAATTGTTTATTAGACAAATTTTGCGCTTTTAAATAATTTTGAGCAAGCTTACATAATTTCAGTGATATTTTGAACTATTTTGTAAAATTTAGATAATTTTAGAAATAAACAATTTTATACAATTTTGGAGTAGTTTAGATAATGTTAGCCACATTTTGATCAATTTTTTACAAGCTTAGACAAACTTAAATTATTTTTGACAAATTTTGGTTATTTTAGACAATTGTTCGACGAAATTGTTCTTGGCGCAAGTCAGTTAACAGATATACTTGAATTGGTCGATGCGAAGAAATATTGAAAATGTAACGCCCATTAATGATGATCTAACCACTAATCGACGAAATCATTCTGTGCAAAATGCGATAAAAGTCTGTGTAGTGAGCACAAAATAGAGCTTTGTCCCTCTTGCATATACAGTAATTAAGTTCTCATGAGAATGTGTTTACTTTTAAGTTAATATATTACTTCACAAGATAAAAATATATTTAAACGATTTACCTTAACTTGATCTTTTTTAACACTTTAGTTGTGTAAAATAATCCAAATGACTACAGCCATGTATGTTGATTTTCTAAAATAAATATTTAAAAATGAACCATTTTTGTTTTTCTTCAAGTTAAATAAACTAATTAATTAAATACAATCGATTTTCAAAGTTGTTGGTGCATAGGTCCATCTGTATGACTCCTTTTCATATAAAAAATAAGCATAACCTTCCAAAGTTAAATAATTTTATACTCATTTCAATTATTTTTGGCAGTTTTGTAAATTTTTCCCAAATTTAGGCAATTTTAGTAACATTATGATCATTTTGGACAATATCAGACAGCTGGTCACGTAATGACGTCAAGATTGTGAGAGATTTAACTTCCAGTCATTCCAAAGTTTGAATTTAAAATATTAAAATAACAAGGATTATATACAAAAGCACTAAGTAGTGTGTATGTGAGGCAATGAATCATTCTAAATGATTCGCGAACACTTTTATCGATTCGCTTTTTGTTAGACTTGAGAGAGACCCCCCTACTCCTTGATGATGTAAAACTAGAACTAACACTACCACTAGAACTAACTCTAGACCTAGAAATATTTGAGTTTAGCCGTCTTAAGAGATTTATGGTCTAGTGTTTGCTCTAGTTTTAGTTTAGAAATTGTAGATTCCGGGTTCATCGTAAGGTATTGAAGAAGTTCGGTGCCTTACCGAATTTACATTAATAAATTTAATTATTCATCGTTCTTTCGAGTTTATTTTCTTCTAGTTTTAGTTGTTATTCAGTGCAAGATTGTAGTATATTTTTCATTCACCTAAAACTAGAACTAACACTAGACATAGAACTAGAAAGTTTCTGAAGTTTCTTCTTATGTCTTCAGACGCATGGCTAAACACAAACGTTTCTAGTTTTAGTGTTGGTTCCAGTTTTACACTAGTACTGTTACTAGAACTAACGCTATACTTAGAAATAGAATCATTCGGGTTTAGCCGTCTTGAGAGATAGTTCAATAAATATACAGGATGTTTCTAAATGTAATATAAATCATCTTGCATATAACTTTTTGTTCAAAACCGCTTCCCCACCGAGTTACAGCACTCTAAAGTTAGGGGAAATAAATAATTTTTCCTATTTAAACTATATTTCCAATCCAACCCAACAATTATTATACATCATTGTACAGAGAAAGCTTTGAGCTTTAATTTAGAATAAGTCTCATTTCTTAACTTCAATAAATACAGCTTCCACGAATTTTTAAATTAGCATCTTTTTTGAAAGTTTTATTTCGAATTTTTTATTTCAATATTTTTCCAATCCAACCCAACAATTATTATACATCTAAAGAAGCTTTGAGCTTTAATTTAGAACAAGTCTCATTCCTTAATTTCGATAAATACGGCTTCCAGGAATTTTTAAATTAGCATCTTTTTTGACACTTTTAGGTTATACGAAAATGTAAGTTTTGTTTCAACATTTTTTTCTCAATATTTTTCCAATCCAACCTAACAATTATTATACATCATTTTAAAGAGAAAGCTTTGAGCTTTAATTTAGAATAAGTCTCATTCCTTAATTTCAATGAATACGGCTTCCAGGAATTTTTAAATTAGTATCTTTTTTGACACTTAGATTATGCGAAAATGTTAGTTTTTGCTCAATATGTTTTTTCTCGATATTCTATCAGATTTTGATAATTTCTGATAAATAAATATTCAAATTTACTGCGTCCACGAAAATGTTGTAGCGTAAGTTCAAAAGAAAGAGGAAGTTGCCAAAATTGTTCTGCCAAAGCTAGACCCCACTCAAAATGTACTTTGTGCAATGTTTATTTATGTTGTAATGAAAGAAAGAACTGTTTTTGTATACTGAAAATATATTTTAATGCTTGACGGTACTCTCAAGTACCATTATCCCCCTGGAATGGGGGGATTGCATATTTTGCTAAAATTGATTCCAAAGGCCTCTACTGAATGTATTTTGATAGCGTTTTAATTCTGCCACAAAGTTTCAAAATTTTTGACTTCTTGGGACACAAAGGGTTAATATATTTAGTGTGGTTTATAATTAACTGCGGTAGTAAAACGGAAAATAATTCAACTTAATTTTTGATATAAATTCACTTATCATAAAATAATTGAGGAAAACTAAAGTAGTAATTGATTTATGTTATATTAGAGAAGAAATTTCAACTCTCACTAAACATGACCTTGAGGTTGCGCGCGCAATCCACCGCCACTTACGTCACGAAATACTGCCGCTCTTAAAATTAAAGTATTGCAGTCTAAGGACCTAGACAACCTTTTATATTTATATAAACCTTGATCAGCGCCAACATTTATATTTAAATATACTGATTATATTAAAAAAATCCGTTATATCAAGGCTTCATTATAATTTATATACCTTTACTATAGGTGGACCTCTGTAATTAATTCGAGTGGGTGTGAGTATATTGGGTTGCTGATTACCCACACCACATTGTCCAGAGCGATTATCACCACAAGCATAAACTGTTCCGGTATCAGTCAGGAAAAGTGTATGATTACGACCGCACGCTGCGGAAATTACATTCATATTAACCAATGCATTAACGTCTGTTGGCACATCTTTGGTGGTTGTGTTGTCAATACCCAATTGACCATATTGATTCCTACCAAAAGTCATTGCTTTTCCATCTTCTGTAATTATAACACTATGTGCTGCAACACATCCACTTACGGCTAATCGAACCTACATAAATTAAACCATTAAATGTTGTTTAGTTTTAATTTTTGGTTATTACATACTTTGAGATCAGTAAATCGATAAGGACTGTTTAAATTAGGCAGTGATCGTCCACCAGATTTGGTATCCTTTCGCCCGGCAGTATCCCAATTGACATTGCCAAACAAAAATAATTGACCAGCCGGTTTAATAAGCGTCTTGAGTAGTTCTTGAGGTAGCTGCATAGGTTCGTCAAGGACATCACCATGTCCTGCAATCAGCACTTCGTCTGGTTGTTGGGCATTTTCATTGTCACTGATATCACTCAATTCCGAATCAATATCACTTTCTTCTCTTTTCTTAGATCGTTTATTTGCTGGTTTCTTAGCCGGCGCTCTTTTGCGTTTCGTCGACATCCTATAAATTTTCAACGTTATTCTTAAACTGAGTTTGGAGTTTTATTTTCGTTTTAGTGTACTTAAATGAAATGGGGAGGTTAGTATTTTAAAAGAAATTATATTTTTTAAATTATGTGCACATTTTTTTCATTAAGGAAAATATTGTTAGCGTCTTTCAGGGGAAGTCGTGTCCCCAAAGCAAAATGGCTAATCATAAAATGTTCAACCAATCCGTTTCAAATTATTCTATATCATACTTTTTTAATAACGCCACAGTATTTTTTTCGTCGAGAAAGTGTGTCGATTGCTTATTGGTTTCACTTAAATGATTTTAATCGGTTCATGTGGACATAAAATACTGTTTCTTCTACCATCACTTACCTGCATAAAGAATAAAACTACACCGCATAAATCTTGTATCTAACAAGGTACAGTTAACTTTCAAGTTGAATTGTTATTTGTAGTGGAGAATAAAACACGTCAGCGGTACCAAAACAAATTTAAAATAACCTAAACTGTATAAATACCAACTCATATATAGGTAAATTTTCTCGGCTTTATCGTAAAAATTATCACAGACCGTTTTTATTATTAAAAAATTGTTAAAATATTAAGAAAAAATTTAATTATTAATTTTTTTAAACATTTTTTGAACTACTTATGAGAAAAATTCGAAATTCATACTGATCATAAATCCTTCAAGGCAATTTTATTTTAATATTATCAATAAAATTATTACTCATATATTTTTGAATAACATAAAATATTCCTTTTTTCTTAAAATTAATAAAATAATAATTAATTATTTAAAAATATTAACATCTTGTTTATATTTTTTTCATTTTGCACCGTTGGCATCATCCCGGCCACGTCTTGTCGTTCAAATGACAGATGTGTTTATAATTCTCTCAATTATTACCAAATAATTTATTAAAAACGAACGAAAATCGCTTAAAATGGTAAGGAATTAAATCATTACATTAACTATTACACGTTTTTTAATAAACCGCTTTGATTTATTATAGCCATTAAGGTTAGACATTAAACGTAAGCTGACGGCTCGGTCTGACCGAGTCAAATGCGTGGATTTACACCCGACGGAGCCTTGGATGCTATGTTCTTTATACAACGGGAATATAAACGTTTGGAACCATGAATCCCAACAATTAGTCAAAACGTTTGAAGTCTGCGATTTACCTGTCCGGGCAGCCAAGTTTGTACCTAGGAAAAATTGGATCGTAGCTGGTTCTGATGATATGCAAATTCGAGTTTTTAATTATAATACTTTAGATAGAGTGCATTCATTTGAAGCTCATTCCGATTATGTTAGGAGTATTGTTGTTCATCCAACTCAACCCTATATCTTAACAAGTAGCGGTAAGAATTACTTTTTTAAAGTTTTAATACAAAGTATTTAGCTATGGGCCATCTCGGGTTTTAACCAAACCGAGTTAACTGAGTTTAAAATGTGTGTAAACTAAGTTCAAAACTAGTTAGAAGCAAAAATCTAAAATTTGTAAATTCATAAAATTACACACTGGTTTGAATTGATGGATGTCTAAGTCATTATTGTGGTCTTTGACTCACATGGTTTTTTTTTTGGGTAGTGTTGGACATTTTTATTAAAATTGTACCATAGGCAATAAATAAAATGCTTACTATAATTCAGAAAAGAGTATATTTTAAGAAATGTACACTAATTCATAGTTGAATTACCAGAATAATTTGTATTGTGTGTATTGAGAAACAGTATTTGATTAAGTTTTTTGGGTGCTACTCAGTTTCTTTGATCATTACATAAAATACCCACTTTAGAATTGTTTTCTGTCTATGGTAATTCAATATACAGGGTGTCTCAAGTAACTGGTTTGTTAGAACTTTTTCAGGTTCCACTATTCCTAGAGATTTGAAATTTTGGTATCATGGGTTGATTATTCGGAACTTTCGATTTAAAATATTTTCAATTTGGCCGCCACTTCCGGTCTACCGGAATGTCATCCATGTCAACTTCGTTATTTTAAATGGAATATTATCGTTTTTATTACACCGTTTAATTGTACGTAAAAAAATAGGTTGACTTTGATAAAAGTTATTGGTACCTAGCGTTTTTCGTTTTCGAGTTATTTATGTTTTAAGCTTTTTTTGGTAAATTTCAACATGCTCTTTAAAACTCCATATCTCAGCCAACGTTCATTCAAAAAAGATCTACATTGGCACGATTACTCTTCCGATGCTGTTAAATAGATTGTCATTTGTTGTATCAAAGTATCTTATACAGGACGATCAAAAATTGAATTACCGTTTCTTCATATTCAATGACGAGAAAGTCGAAAATTGTAAATGGAGCGCCCCATATTTTTTGAGCCTATCAGAAAGGGAATTTAATTTTCTACAAATTATCTATAAACATTCCTATACCTATTTATTGTAGTTTGCGTCATATTGGGAAATTTATTAAATCATGCACGAAATGCAGGTTTTTTATGAAACTTCACTTGAAAGAGGTTTTATGAAAGTCAACATATTTTGACTTGACTTCTCGACGGTTTCTGATCTTCAATTGTAGAAGTAGAAGCAGCGCCAAAAACAGTACATGTAGAAGTTTGGTCGGTTGAGTTCAAGGTTTCCGTTGATAAGTAGCCGTGTAGTTCATTTATTATCCACGTTTACCCATTATTAGGGTTGCTTTCTGAACTAAATGTTGATTTTTTTATATAGCGGATCAAGGAAAGTAGCTGTTACTGCTGTTCTATTAATCTCATAACCCCAAGTTGCGTCTCTATTATAACAGCAAGAGTTCTTTGTAAGTGCTTGCCTGTCTGTGTCATTGGAGTTTTGCTATTTATGGCATGTCACATAAAATTGCAGTTACCTTTTCAAACAGATGTAAGAACCCCACTACGTCTTCAGCAAATAACGCCATGCAACAGCCATCTTGGGGGCTAAAAAATTCCAAGTCAGGGTGAAAGTACTAGACCAGTATAGTAAAACCTCCAAAGGGTTTGGCGTTCTCAGCCCAAACTTTGTTTTTATGACCTTTTATATTTTTTCCTTATCTTGATGCTTGTTTGCTTAGTTTTTCAGTTATAACTCAAGAACCATTGATGATTTCTCATTTCATTTTTCAGCAAAATTGTAGCTAAGGCTTAAATAAATAATTTTTATTAATATACCCATGTACAAAATTAAGTTGGACTAATTTTATCGAATGAAATCTTCAAAAAATTGTCAAATTATTTCGAAAAAAACAAATTCGCTTTGAAAAATAACGTCTTTACTTGAATTCTACGAATTGCAACTAAAAAAAGGATTGATCTTATGGAAATTATTAACAAAAATTAAGGAAAAACAAAGTTAACCTTAGTAAACCTTTTTGATGGTGATTGTTCAGGGCTAGTGTCATCGCTATCGCAATCATCGCTGTCATCAATTTCTAAGCCACACATAATATCAATTTGTGACTCCACTGCTGGCCCTACTGCACCTTCTGAAAATTCTTCATCATCAGGATCATCCATGTCTTTGAATACATGCTTACTTCATTTCAAATGGCATAGCACCTTGATGATAGCGTTTTCCAATAGACTGTCTAAGTCTGACGTCACAGAGATGGGCAGAGCTTATACTGACTCTAAACAATTTCGTTGCTAAGATAAATCGCCAAAAAATGTCATTTGAAGTGTCATTACTTAGTTTATTTTATTTTAACACAAATGAAAAATTGCATAATGCTGATTTACCGTTAGCAACACAGTTAGCAACGAAAATGTTTGGAGTCGGGATAAGCTCCGCCCATCTCTATGACGTCAAGGCTTAGGTTGTCTATTGTCTGCTAGAGTAGTCCAAATGATGATATAAAGAATGAATTTTCATGGACGTGTGGTCGCCAATTTTCGAGAACGATGTTAACATCTTTGCTACAGAATCATCGTAGTTGCTTCTTTCATTGCCTTCCAAGCATCCATTTCAGCGTTAATCAAAATATTGTTGAATACGTCACTTTTAATTTGCTTTCTTATATCTGGACCATTTAGTACGCCTGATGGAAAAAATGAATTTATTGCGATAGAAAATCATGAGAAAGAAATATGTTTTGAAAAATTGGAATTTTCCACGAAATTGAAAAAATGGATATGTTATTACATTTAACTACCTTCTTTAATTTTACTTTCGCTGAGTCTCGGGTAAATTAATTTCAACACAAGAAAACTGCATCTCTTTTGGCGACAGTTTTGATGAAATTCTTAACAATTCCAAGTTTAATATGCAATGGAGGCAGCAATATCTTCTCTTTCGGCACGAATAATTTTGGCCATTTCTAACCTGCTGTGCTCCATTCGTGGCATGCATATTAGTCTCTAGTAAATCATGTGTCCCAATCGCACAAAAAGCACATATATTTTATATAGCCGCATGGAAGATCGCAAAGCATTGCTACAACTTTTAAATCACAGCATATCTGCCACATATGTTTAGTGTAGTTAACGTGCATCATAGGTTTTTTTCGTTTTTGTACTATTTGCGATTGGAACCGAAGGTTTTTCATTGGTCTTATGCAGTAAAACCGTTTTCAAGCTGATTTTGGAACTGTCAATAAATAATCTCCAGTCATCTGCTTCATATTTTATTTCATCAATTTTCCAACATCAGGCCAATATGCAGAGGTTTTTCATCATTCACAACGAATAACCTTTGGAGTGTTGCCTGACGACTTCGATAAGCTTGTGTCAATAGATTGTTTGATTTCAAAAACGAAGCCAGCTGTTCTGATTTATGCGGTGTCAATTCCAATTTGGCAACAATTGAATCTAGCTGATTTTGATTTATTAAAATGGGCTGATCATTACTTGAATCATATGTTGGTGCAAAAGTCGGAGCAGTCATAGAAGATAGAACATCTGGGCTGGAACTTTCTGACACAGGAATGTAGCTCGAATGAGGCAATGGTCTTTTGCCACTTGCAATACCAACCTAATTGTACGATTTTCTTACCGTTTTTTTCAATGCGGCTCCTTTATTCGCACATGCGTAGCAATTCAATGATGTTTTCTAAGAATTGTCATAGAAAGAACTTATCTGATATCAGCTTTGTTAAAGGTTTTACAGTCAACTTATCAAATCTAAAAAAAAACGAGAACACAGTTTAGCCCTGGTGGTATGACTCATTTAATTTCTAAAGAGACGTAGCCTTTCGTTTATTACTTTTTGAATATAAGATAATTTGGTGAATTGTCACAGTAATGCCCTAATGACCACTGGTGGTCGCGCAAAACGTAAACCCAACTCGTAACAGTCTAACTCGAATTGCCTTAAAATAACCTCATCTCGAGTTAACTCCGTTTGAAAAATCGAGTTGACCCATCTCTTAAAAGTATTGATTGTTAATGTTTATTTTATTGTATCTAATAGATGATATGCAAATAAAATTATGGAATTGGGATAAATCTTGGGCTTGCCAACAAGTTTTCGAAGGTCACTCTCATTATGTAATGCAAATAGCGATCAATCCGAAAGACAATAATACTTTTGCGAGCGCCTCTCTTGATCGTACAATTAAAGTCTGGCAATTAGGTGCATCAACCGCTAATTTTACATTAGACGGTCATGAAAAAGGAGTAAATTGCGTCGATTATTACCACGGAGGTGATAAACCGTACTTAATTTCGGGCGCGGATGATCGTTTAGTAAAAATTTGGGATTATCAAAACAAAACGTGCGTTCAAACGCTTGAAGGTCACGCACAGAATATTAGCGCTGTTTGTTTCCACCCCGAATTACCGGTTGTTTTAACCGGAAGCGAAGATGGAACCGTGCGAGTTTGGCACGCGAATACGAATCGATTGGAAAGTAGCTTAAACTACGGCTTTGAAAGAGTTTGGACTATTTGTTGCTTAAAAGGATCAAATAATGTTGTACTTGGATACGATGAGGGTAGTATTTTGGTTAAAGTGGGTCGCGAAGAACCTGCCGTTAGCATGGATGCTAGTGGTGGAAAAATAATTTGGGCTAGACATTCCGAATTACAACAAGCCAATTTAAAAGCTTTACCCGAAGGAGCTGAAATTCGCGATGGTGAACGTTTACCAGTTGCTATTAAAGATATGGGAGCATGCGAAATTTATCCTCAAAGTATCCAACATAATCCTAACGGACGATTTGTCGTTGTTTGCGGGGATGGGGAATATATTATTTATACCTCTATGGCTTTACGTAATAAAGCGTTTGGTAGCGCGCAAGAATTCGTTTGGGCCCAAGATTCTTCGGAGTATGCTATAAGAGAAGCTGGTTCCACAGTAAAAATTTTCAAAAATTTCAAAGAAAAGAAAAGTTTTAAACCTGATTATGGCGCGGAAGGTATTTTCGGTGGTTATCTTTTGGGTGTTAAATCCGCTCCTGGGTTAACATTTTACGATTGGGATACTCTCGATTTGATTCGAAGGATTGAAATTCAACCTAAAGCTGTTTATTGGTCAGATAATGGAAGATTGGTTTGTTTAGCTACGGAGGATAGTTATTTTATTTTAGGTTATGATCAAGATCAAGTTGTTGCTGCTACTTCGAATAATCAAGTAGCTGAAGATGGTGTTGAATCGGCATTTAATGTTCTTGGTGAAGTAAATGAAACTGTTCGAACAGGTTTATGGGTTGGGGATTGTTTCATTTACACAAACGCTGTAAATCGTATTAATTATTACGTCGGTGGTGAAATAGTAACAATAGCACATTTAGATCGACCTCTTTACGTGTTGGGGTATGTGCCTCGTGATGATCGTCTTTATTTGGCTGATAAAGAACTAGGAGTCCTTTCCTATCAATTATTATTATCTGTTCTCGAGTATCAAACTGCCGTAATGCGACGTGATTTCTCAACTGCAGATAGAGTTTTACCATCGATACCAAAAGAACATCGTACTAGAGTTGCTCATTTCTTAGAAAAACAAGGTTTCAAACAACAAGCTTTAGCTGTTTCAACTGATCCGGAACACCGATTTGATTTGGCGTTAGCTTTGGGTGATTTAACAACCGCGAAAACTTTGGCGCTGGACGCTAATAATCCACAAAAATGGAATCAATTAGGAGAATTAGCAGCCGCATCGAATAATTTACCATTAGCTAAAGAATGTATGCAACGTGCCCAAGATTATGGTGGGTTATTATTGATTGCAACCAGCACAGGTGATGCTGAATTAGTTAAAAAGTTAGGTGAAGCTACTTTGAGTGAAGGCAAAAATAATATTTCGTTTTTATCGTATTTCTTATTGGGTGATTTAAAGAAATGTTTGGATATTTTAATACAAACCGATCGATTGCCAGAAGCTGCCTTCTTTGCTAGATCATATTTGCCAAGCGAAATTTCTTATGTAGTTGGATTGTGGCGTCAACAATTATCAGCGATTAATGAAAAAGCGGGGCAAAGCTTAGCTGATCCGAAAGATTACGAAAATTTATTCCCGGGATTGGAAAATGCAATAGCTGCTCAATGTTATATGCAGCATGAACTCCATAATTTACCAGACGCCTCAAAAGCTATGAAAATTCCACCAAATCACGAACGCAATCCAATTGAAGAAGTTAAAGCTGCTATTGCAAGCGGAATGTTTTGTTACACCCCACCATCAGAACTGAAGTAAGAAATAATAATAGTAAATTTTAAATTATTTTGATTTGTTTTTTTTATTTATAGGAGACAGGAGAAGGAAATGACTCAATCTGAATTTGGCAAAGCTGCTTCAAAAACTGTTTTGACAGATGATGATCTTGATTTGGATTTAGAAGGAATGAATTTGGATGAAAATATAGATACGACGGTTAGTATATCTCAAGATTACATAAATTTTTTATTTTTTAGTTATGATTTTAGGATATTAATATAGATGAAGACCTCTTGAGTGATTGAACACTTAATTTAAGAATAAATAAATGTATTTATAAGTATTATTTTTTAATAACAAAAGTTTCATTCCTATGTCTAAAGTTCTAATATAAGTTTGTACGTGTTATATAATAAATATTGTGTTAATTAAAATATCGTTTTAACTCAGTTATGGTCTTTTAATGTATAAGTAGCTTTCGACTTATAGATGGCGTTAAAAATAAAGCCAGAAGTTATGTATTCTTCCTATATCTCTTTCCCAGATTTTTTCCCTGCATAATGATTTGGAAAAGTTGTCTCTTTTCCCCTCGCATGATATGGCCCATATATAATTTTTTTTTGCGCAGAGGAGGAGAATAGTATATTAAAAAAAAAGTTTCGTAAGACACGTTTGAAATGCATGAATTCAAATTGAAAAACGAGTGGCGAAGCCACGAGTTTTTTAATGAATGAGGCCTTTAAGTCTTATGAAACGTGCTTTTTATGCTATTTTTTGTAATTCGTGTTTTTATCCTTTTTTTCTCAAAAATAAAATAAATTTTGACAATATAGGGAAATAGGTATGTAGCAGTTGGTAACAACGTAACACTTGAAAATAGAAATTTGAATGACAAATAGAAACTGTCAAAACACAAAACGTATTCACCTGATAAAAATGTTTCATGTACACCTCCCAAAATAAGAGAAATTGCTCAGAGTGCGATGTCCTCATCATTGTGGACCTTGTATTTGATGTTAATAACGTGTTTAAACATCCATAGACAAAGATTGTCACATTGACAACTAGAAAAATTAATGACCCATGTGACCAACTTGAACTGGTTAAAAAATGTTTTTATGCACCCCGGCCTACTGTTGGCGCCGAGAGGTGTTCGTAAGGTGTGTTTCGGCTAGGAGTCTGGGACTCACAGTGTCTACCCAGTAAAAACTCTTTAGACGAACAGCTCCACAACACGAGACTTTTTTTCAAAACTTTCTGTCACTCTGTAGGACTCAATATTTAAGTATCTCGGAGAAAAGTGGCCGAGAAAGGATAGAACCTAAGACCTATTTCCTGGCTTTTGAAAATCCTTTTGTTGGCTTATATATCTGCTGGAAGTTTATGTACAAGGGAGTGATAACTTTATTTTTGGCATATTGTGATTTATTAAATTATTACGTATAGACCCTCAACAAATAGGTATCATTAAAGGTAACAACAAATAATTTATCAATTCAATCCTATATTTTATAGTTAAAATATATTCGCAAATTTAACAGTTTAAATTCCCAAAATACGTTGCTAAACTAGATGCTAATTCGCTATAATAGTGCCATCTATCAAATCGTCTCAAAACTAATTTGACATCTCTCTGATTTGATGTGTAAATTTCAATAAAAAATTGATTTTTAACAGAAATAAACTGTTTAATACATAGCAACAATTATTTAACCTTTATTATGTTTAAATTTATTAAATGTTAACACATGAACATGGCGAAAAGCAGTTTAACTAGGAGTTTAGTTCAAACTCTTGGCAAGAGATGTCGTTGAAATAATAGAATTAAATTTAAAAGGTATTCGAAAATAAAATCCATTATAGATTTTAGAATTTATTGATGTTTTCTTTGAAAAGTTTGAGTTTTCTGAAATTATTATTGTATACACTAAAACGTATATCTAAAACTATACTTCAGTTAATTTTAGATTTTCATAATGAGCGTGCTTAAAGTGTAACTAAAATTTAAATAATTCTTGGTAAAATAAACAGTTTAAAAGAATTTTAAACAAATGATTTTTACGAATTTGTAGAGTAACTGACTTGAAGATTCAAGTCTGCTGTATATTCGGAACTAATTGGAGGGCAGGTTTTAAGAATCTGCAGTTATAGTTAGCTACACAAGATAGGTTCTCCAATCTTTGTTTCTCCAGATGTAATTATCGCTTATATACATAAAGCATGGTGTAAATACTCACCGTATAAAGGTTTATGTAGGTAACAATGTACTAAAAAGTGCTTTTGTGGGTCACAAAAGCTCCTACTAATTCCTACTATTTATTTATACTTAATTCTGTAGTTTTTCAAAAGCAAAGCTCTAGAAGATGTAGCTGCCGCTCTAGTTATTGCAAAAGTATTGTTTACATATGCATCATCATTAATTACTCCACTTGTAGACTTGTAGGTTAAGAATTTTGAATGTAATAAGTTTTAGGTTGGTATCACTTCGAGTGAAGTTAGTTGTTGGTTAACTATTATTGTCAATTGTCAATTATGAGTTTGTTACCTAAAAAAGAAGATTTGGAATTCCCTCGCACCTAATATCAATAGAATGTCAGGTACGAATACAAAACGACCTATCTCACCCGTTCTTAACACATACGGGGTTGCGACAAGGGGGTCCATTATCAACCCTTTTATTTAACACAGTGCAAGCTGGCATTAATTAACAGAAGAGGGACAATTATAAATAATAGAACTAAGAGGGATTAAGACGGAAACTCAGAGTTATTATAAGGACGTCACCTGTTCCAAGCAAAACTTTTCCTTTCCAAAACTACCTACCCAATGCTTGTACTATTAAGCTATGTTGTATTTTATGTGGGACTGTGCAAGTGGTATGTATTGCGAGTTATATGAAATTCCCGGTATGGAGGAATTTAAGAACAGGAACTCGTTTTAACCATGAACTGTATCAAGAATTCAAGTAACCGGACAACTATAAAAATTGGAAGATTGAGATGGATAGCACATGTGGGACGGATGAAGGAGGTGTAATTAACGAAACAAATAGTTAGACAAACACTGGTAGGACAGAGATTGAGAGGAAGGCCAAAGACAAGATATATAGACCAGGTGGAGGGAAAATGGAGAGTGGTGGCGCGTAATAGAGAAGAATGGAAGAAAATCCTTAAGCAGGTTAAGACCCTTCTAGGGTTGTAGAACCAATGATGATGATGACCCAAAAAATTTTCTAAAGTAGCCATAAGTGTTGAGAGTGTAACATAAAAGTAGGTATATTAATTCAGAACATTTTTATTTGAAAATGCCAAAATGTCTCCTTGTATTTTACGCAATTCACGTCTTGGTAAACAAGATTAGCCCTAAACGTGTCGTTAATCCATTCGAAATTTAAAACGAAACGGTTCTTAAACCATACTCTCGCGACGCAATACATCATCGCCGTGATTTACGATCTCGAGGTTTAGGTGTTAATTGCGACGACGCGACGGAAACTCTCGGTGACTCTGTCTTTCACGACGTTCTCGCTCTTTGCGTGCCCCGTTTACGATTAAATAAAACGCGACTAATAATAATATCATCGCTGATGGTGCCGTTTTGGCACGCACCGGGGACCACTTAAAAAATGATATTTACGATAGGGCGATGTGTTTGGGAACTGCGCGTAATTGTTTGTTGAAATGTTCGGGGACCCCCGTTTACAAAACACCCGGATTCCGAATGACACTTTTCAAAATAACGTACTAAACATTCGTATAACCCATCCCCCCACTTTAAACAACATCTTCACGATATTCTTGAGCGAGATCACATCTTGTTATATATGTTGAGGCGAATTAGATTTTTTTGACACCTAATGTAAATGCGTGTATTTTAAGAAATGGTTTGTTTATTTTTAAATTTTGTAAAGAAATAAAATAAAAATCCATTATTTTATCTTAATGGGTCACTTTAACACCCAATTTCCACGTGCTGACATAACATTCGGCGCTATTTCATGGTGTTTATCTCGACATTTCTCGTCGGTCCCAAATTTTTCGACGTAAATAGCTGGTCGATGTGGAACGTGGAGACGTGGATGGAGTTAAAAAATAAAAAAAAATGAAATGGTACTGTTGCGCAGGCGGATTAACCCCGGTGGAGTAAAGTTGAACGCTGTCGTCACAGAAGAGTTGCTATAAATAGAGAAGAAAGTAAGCCCCCGAAACTCGGTAACAAATAAACGGCGTCGATTTAATTCACCCGGGGTCCCCGAATTAGCGCTCCCCGTATTAGCGGTCGTGATTAATGACCCTCATTTGCCGGCTCGACAATTTGTAGACGTTTAGGAAAACGCCTTTTTTTCACCACATAAATCTCGCTTTTAATAGATCGGAATGCCGACCATTAGGAGGGCCACTCTTTTACATTTTCAACGGTACGTTAGAAATGAAGTTTTCCTGCTTTTTTCATTTTCAGTTCTTGGGAGATAGTAACTTAATCTACGCTAAAAAGCAGAAAAACAAAAAGAAATTTATAAAATAAAAGCCCCGATGGAGGATACCTGCGTATTGTTTACCTCTGGCACCGAGTACTTGTTTTGGAAACAGCGCAAGAGAACCAAGCAACAAGCGTAAACAAACCCTACAAATCCTACAACAAAAAATTCACTCTAACAAAAAAATAACCTTTAATTCAGTTCATCACTCCGCTTTGATTACATCATCTTCGTTTAATCTTTGTTATAACATAGTTTTTTTGATTTAAATATTTCTAGTTTTAATTTTGGTGTGTTATAGAAAAGATTCAAGAGAAACGTATTGAGTTTAAAATTAGCGGGGCTCCGGTGCGCGGGTGCGTTTTGAGAAAGACGTACGGCCAACAGCTGAAGCACTCCTCGGTTCTCCTGAAGTCGCGCCGGTGCCTCGCATATTTTCGGGTCCGTTTAGCGGCGGCAACGACACGTCTCCACCCGTACATTAGCTCGACTAACAGATCTATACGTCAACCGAAGAGACATGTCGCCGTTCACCACTTATGCACTCCAACTAAATAAGATTAGAAACTGAAACAGACTCGCCACAATTCTTAACAGATATAAAGATGATATATTAAAAATAAGAATAGAATAAAAACGATTAAAAGAATATTTCCCATCTTACCGATATCACATTATAACACTTTTGGAATAACTCATAAAGTCCAATAATCGTTTTGCCATACATTTTAAAACCAGATCATTTTTAACTTCATACAATAGCTACATCGTTTCCAAAGATTAATAAGAACGCTTATTTAAACCGTAACCAGTTGGACACAAGCATAAATTTTCGGAAAACACCGAGAACGGGATGTTTCATACTGATATAGAGTCTTGTGACAATGTATGTACTATGTTGTGATGTTAGAGTTCTAAATAAATAGTCATGCATTATTATACAGCCCATTGTGATTCTCGATTTTGCGATTG